TTTTTTTTCAGCTTTTTTCAATTCTCTATTCAGCTTTTTATTTCCGTTAATATATTAACTGTAAAGAAACATAGTTATAGTACTGAAGACATTGTGTACGCATTTAATTTTAATTTTTCAATTTTCTATTTAAGCGGTAAAATTCTTACGTCTAAAGCATATGTCTGGACGTGTGGACAAATTTTTTCATTTTTTAAAAGCATTTGTGGCAATGAAGATTTGAAACTTATCTCAAATCAATGCATTTTAGAATATGCAAAAAGTCTTTGATTATTGGTCAATTGACTTGTCTGATTAAGGACTTCAAAAGCAAACAATTTTGGAATAATTCTTCGCAAACAATTGCGATTTCGGAAAATTTAGAAGAGTGCGAAATTTATAACGCTCGAATAATTTTGTCCAAAATTTATCACTGTCCAAAAACTTCTGCGCAATATAAAAGTCAAAGCAGAGTATCTGCCGATTGAAAATGGAATTTTTTGCTCACAAACATTTACAAACTTAAAGAAAACTTGTTGCAAGATCTAGCTACAAAGTGAAAAATTATGAAATCTTTTTAACTAGATACATTTTGTAATCACAAAACATCCTCAACTATGTTATATCGTCCTCTGTTATGCTTTAATCGTAGTCAACTTCGATATCTTTGTTCTTTCATTTCCTGCAACCAGCTCTATGTCTTTCACGTTGTAATTTCCTTAAATTAATATGTTAAAGTGAGCAAAACTTTCGCTTTTCACCTGCTATGGTTACTTTTGCGGTAATCGTGATTCCTGGGATGATTGTGAAAAATTTTGAAATGGAGGGCATAATCCTATAGAAAGAAAGGGATTTCCAAATGAGGGCCCTTTCGAAAACTAGTAACTTCTTTGGTAAATCAAATGAAATATAGTAAGCTTATTAAGGTGTCATATAGCATTTAGAATGTGTCAATAGTGTTTGTTTGCCAAACCGCAAAATCGTCCGAAATCTCGTCCGAAATTTTTTTGTCCGAAACCTATTTGTTCGCAATTTTGGGCGTTTAATGTATTCAAAAAATTGAAAAGTTGGTTGTTGCTCTAACAGTCTTTCTTCTGTAATTAAATTCTTAAAACTTCGACAAACGTTTTTCGAGTGAGAAAGTCTCACCTGAACAAGCAGCCATTCACTTCCTGTACCATGCATTAAAATGTATCTTGAAAAATATTGACAAATGGTATAGTGATTTTGATAAATCATGACTTGCAATTTGCATCGAAGAATTAAAATATTTGATACGTTTGAATAGGAGAACAGAAGATTTTTTATATATATATATATTCGGTATAAAAACTTACACAACAAATTACTTTAAACAATACGTACGAACTATTAAACTACATTACAAAGACGGAACCCAGGAGGAGCAATATAACATGAGTGCCCCTGGGATATGACATGTATATAACTAATAATACAACTATAATACTTCATATACATATGCTAGATTATAATAATACATACAAAGTAAAATACAACATATACATATACGATATATACTTAAGCCCGTTTCACATTGAACGTCATTGGAAAATATGCTATATTGTTCGAGATATATACCTAATACGTCATTTATTGAGAAAATTGGTATGGAGTCAAGATGGACAGTCATTAACACTATAATAAACCTAGTGTCAAATGCGAAATGGGCGAAAAAAGAAGGAAAAGAAGAGAAATAGGCATACAAAACTATGGGAAAAGAGACTCGGTGGCAAGGTAACAGTAGGCCGTAAGCTGTGTCCAAAAAAGGTGCTCCAAAATCAATTTTCGTTGCCCGCATCCGGGCACAACTTCACGACTGTTTTTTCTTGTTCATAATGTGTTACTTGATATAAAATCAGTTGTTGTCATTCTGACAAACATGCAACTCGTGAGATACGAGGGTCAATAATTTCTAGGTTTTATGACGTCATCGATACAGTCAAATTATTTAAAAAACATTTTTTGACACAGAAACTGCCCTCGCTAGCTAGATCACTTTAAGTTAGTATATAAACGTGCAACTTAGAGCGTTGTCAAACGCTTCGTGTCTGAGAAGATGCCTTTTAACGGTTGATGACGTCATCACAACATCATCATGTATTATGGTCAAAACCATCTGTTTTTGTAGTTAACACCGTAGTTAGCAGCATGAACGAGCTTACAGTTGGCAAATGCGAGTAAGCTTGTTCATACTGTACAGGTTATTCTCGTACAGTGCTGAGGAGAGGGGGGTCAGGGGGGTCACTGACCCGGGGGCCCATAAATAATAACTCAATTGAACAAAATTTCTAAGTAATAATCCAGCCTCCCCATCAACATTAACAAAACATAATATTAGAGACAATAATGATAAAGGTCCATGAAGTCGTGAAGAAATTTTTGTTAAGAATTTCTCATCTTTGTTGGCTAGGGCTAAAGAAGTTCAAAAGCTTCTGAATGTTACGAAATGCGATTGCAGGGTAACATACAGGGCAATATGTATGTCATACAGATTTACACTATGGCGTTCGCATCTATTTGCAACAGTGTGTCTGTTGTAGTCCAATTTAGTTAATGAATGGAACGTTTTTCATTTTCTAGCCTTTAAGAATTTCTAAGAAAATTTCATTTTCATGCATTATGGTGCTAAAACATCAGTTAAGCTCAAATTGTCAGGTATCAGATATCAGTTATCAGGTATGGTAAGTATGCTACTTGATGCGTACATTGTATATCGATTGTATTTAAGAAGTGCAAGGTTTAATAAAGCAGTGCGATATGGAAGGGAACAGAATAAAGAGTTGCCTAAAGTAATAAATGTACTTGTGATAAATCATATCTCTTCCATTAAATATCCCTAAGTCTTGCGCCTAACCCATTTGTTTTTAATTCTCAGTTATTTAAACGTATCATCTTGTACCTGTTATTTTCTATTTCTTTCTAATTCACAGGAGGGGTGAGAACCATGGATTTTCCGACAAAAATCGAACAAGCTTCTATATCTTTCTCATAAATTTCAACATAACATAACGACATCAGAACTGAAAAAAGATCATTTGATATATTGAATATTCTTATGTTTATTTAGATACAAATTTTCTCCCATCAAAACAAAACATTTAGATAAACATAGACAACCACGTGAAATTTTTGAAAAGAGCAGAGGTTTTCCGAAAAAAATAGCAGTTTAGCTCTACAGTGGTGTTTTTGCTCCTTCTGACCCCCTCTATCTACACCATTGCCATCGGCGCAGTTTAGCCACAATGACAATTTTAGCAACCAAAATAGCCACCCTAGCAGTTTAAGCAACCATAATTTTCAAAAATTTTCTGGGGAGCATTCCCCATACCTCCTAGAAGCGTCTGCCTTAGGCATGCTTTATAATTTAATTTTTGTCCTGACCCGGGGCCCATAAATTCTCTCCGCGGCCCTGTTCTCGTATACAGGTTTTGAATAGTTGATGACGTCATCCCTTTATGGTTTTTTGTACTTTACTCTCTTACATCAGGTTGAAATCAATAATTTTATGAAAAACATTTCAGCTATTTAAGCTTTGTAAAAGGTTTAAAAATAAGACAGTGGTGGCGCCAGCTGTAGCAGAGTGGGAGGGTTATGGGCGTGACCCAGGAGACTACGCCTTTACTGTTTCATTTTAATTGTTTTTTATGCCAGGTGCATTTTCATAGACAAATCTTGAAAAATATGACCTGCCCCTACCCAGTGCATTTTTTATCAATTTTAGGAGAATATCTGGACAATGTTTTGCAAGAGGGGGGGGGGGTAACAGTCCATACTACCCCTTGGTGCCGCTACTGGAAAGCAAGAATGTCAAGAATGTATCAAACAACGTAATAGGAGAAATTTGTTTAGCCGACCGCCATGTTTATTTTAAGGCAATTGGTACTTAGGTATTACCCGGACTGTGATATAGGGCCGAGAATAATTAAGCAGCATCGGCTTTCGGCATTCCATGTTATACACCTTAAGCGCGGGAATGGTGAAGTTTGAAGCTGAATTTCAAGAGAATTGCAGGTTTTAACAGTTGACAACAAGAAGATTCGTAATCAGCACGAAAAAACACACAGAAAAATGCTTATTAAACGTAGTGCCGGAATGGGGGCAACGAAACCAAATAAAAATCTGACACAGCTTACGGCCTACAGTGACCTTATTCGAATCTACCAGTTGTGTGAATGTATTGGAGAGTTAACTCGATTATATTTTTGTTAAGGTCATTTTGGGAGGTCTATATCGCCATATAATAAAAGTTCTATCAAAACCTCATTTGAAAGATCGTTATATCCTAATGATTGTACTAATTCAAAGACTCTAGCAAGAAGATTTCGTCGTTCAATTTCAAAGGCGGGGCAGAGCAACGAAAAGTGTCTCATTCTAATTCTCAAGCTAAAGTCTGTCAGGCTTTATTCCGGTTAAAAAACACAAACCATTAACTGTCGATTGAACCAGAAAGCTGGATTAAATTGAAAATTTTTTATATTTAAGCTTGTATTTGCTTCATTTTACAGTGGATATTTATGTATGCCCGCCCACAGAGGATACATGGTACATTAGTTCAACGTTCCTCGTGCAAAAAACGTTGGACATCGATCAAAGGACTTTTGAGCTTTTCCTCCTACCATGTTTTAGCAAAAGACTTGCCCAGGACATACCACAACGCGATTCGTAAAAATTAATAAACAGGATCTTATCACAAGTATGTTCAAAAAACAGTTTATGAAAAGAAACCAGAATTCGTGAATATTAGTCAAACATCTGTCTGTCAAAAAGAGTAAACCAGACAAATTTTTTATTTTTCTTCTGACATACCTTTCAATCGGAAGTTAAAAGTTAACTTTTCTTTTCAATATTCTGCGTTTTTTACTTCGAGCAATGTAAAAATCATATGATCCTTTATCTTTCAACCTTTTTCCATTATTTTGAAAGTTTTCATTTTTTTTGGAAATAATAAAATATTTTAAATCACCTAAAGTTTATTAAAACTTTGCTCTCAAAGACGTATACAATGTTTATATTCTTTTAATTGTCCATAGAAAGTTTTGAGTTGTAAAAATGTTAAAAAATTTCTTTCAGGGCACTTCTTCTACTAAACATTCACGAAAACAAAACAGAAACAAAACGCAATGGCAAAAAAGAGACGAAATAAAAAGATGTATTCCTTAATATCAGATATTAATACAGGGAGGAAATTTCTTTAGGTGCTGCTAGTCTTTATTCTCTGATCTGAAATATTAATAGGAAATAATTCAGTAATTGATTGAATGTTTGTCAATATAAGTTGTTCGTTCTTCATGTATAAGCATTTTGAAATGGACAGCATGTATTGTCTGGACGATACAACTAAATACCAGTTGTTAAACGCAACTTCCTTGCTTAGCAAAATATTTGGAGGCATATAAAGCATCTCACATTTTTTGAAAAAATTAATGTCGCCCTTTACCGGAACACATAAACTTCTTCATTTTCCCACATCAGAAAGGAAGAAAATGTTTAGGGAAAATCTAACATTCAATTTTCTTTCCAAGCTATTCAATTCAACACAATCAAGGCAAATAGGATACTAAGTTGAAATCTTACTATCAACCAGTCTTTGTGTTTTGAATGCAAAATTGATTATCATGCAAAATGTCATGTAAGTTTTCAGATTCTGTAAAACAAATATATTAAAACGGAATAATACGCTTATAAAGTAAAACACTCTGAAATACTGAGCTACAGATTTGAATTTTAACTGAGAAAAGTTGGACCAAAGTACCGCATAAGTTTCCCTTTTATCTGACACCACATCCCCATCGACTCTACCCAAAGTTTTCTGGTGAGTAATTTCCAACTAACCTTAAGTAGCTTGCACTTCTCCTCTCACAGAAAGTGAATGCAAAAACCATTAAACCCTGCAAAATTAGACATTGTGGACATCAAAAACATTGCTTTCGGGGAAATATCATTAGTTGATACTCCAGTAGACGAAATCATAACTATCAGAATTTATTTTACAAAGAAGAAAGCACATTCTTTTTGCAGCTGAATTTCTAGATTCAGTGACCAAAATACATTCCATTACAATTCTATCTTTTCTGCTAAAGAGTAGCTTTCGATCCCAAATATATAAGATGAAATTTTGAATATATAAATAAATAATCAAATAGATAAATAAATAAATTAATTAACTAATAAATAAATAAATAAATAAATTAGTTTATAAATCAATTAATTAACTTATAAAAAAAATTAATTAATAAATTAATAAATAAATTAATAAATAGATAAACAAAATGGTGAATAAATAGCTATGGACAAGGCACATTAGGCAGGGTAAAGTTCAAATTTAAATTAATGTGTCATTTACGACTCTATCCAAGAATAGTAAAAAAAGACAATTTCTACTTCTTTCCAAATGGCGTTTATTTTGAGTGTGATTGCCAATGCGTCGTCCTGCAAGATATGTATTAGGTTTCTAAGCCAGAGCTTCTGTTTTAGAATCTTAGATAATGGACTTACCACAATTATCTGGAAGATGCCAAATATCTAAGGATAAATGAACAAAAGTAAAAAACATGATAATGTATTTAAAAAAACATCAAAAATACACCATCCTTACTTCATGGCAGTGCGATTAGCCTTACCAAAGACCAAAACATCCGTTTCTGGGGGAAGCAACGCACGCTTCATTGAAATTCAGAAATGAGTTCTCTAACGCAAGCTATTCTTGCAATACCATGATAACTGCCAGGAAAGAATGAGAATTACTTTTGAACAAGAATGAATGGAAGCTCAAACATCAGAGGAGTAAAAACTGTGCCTAAATCAATGGTCGAACCTTGAGCCTACTGTTTCTCGCTAATGTGCATAATAGGCATCCGTGGAATCAAATCCAGTTTACACGGAAATAAAATTGTTCTAATGATTAGAGATCAAAAAGCGTTTAAAATGTCAGAAATTTTTTATGTTGGTCTTATTTACTTGCCTTAACTGACTAAAAACCACATTTTCTTTTAATAAAAGCAGCCTCTTACTGCAATCCTTGCTAATTTGATGCATTTATTTACAGTTGCATATCCATTTGACTTTCTTCAATCATAACAAGATCATCAACATAGAGTTTAGATATAGTTATTTCCTAACGTCATGCCTGCAAATTACTAAGTTAGTTCGTTATTAGGATCGTTTAAATGAAAGGAACATAAAAGAAAATGCTTGATAATCATCCTTATCTAACCCAAAAAAAATTAGAAAAACTTTTTCCCCTTTTTTGCTAAATTTAACAATTCACTAAGAAGAAGACTAAAATTAAAAAAAGCTCATCCAATACCATAATCAATCAGTTTGCAAACTGAAACATCAAATTTAAAAATCATTTTGAATTTAAATCTAAAGACATATGCAGTCAATCTCTGACACGGGTGCCAAATAAACTTTTGTTATAGTGACTAAAAAGGAAATATAACATTGCTCAATCTTCGGGAATATCAACAATCAGAAACAATTTATTGAAAATATGAAGAGAAACATCATTAAATATTTATTCTAGATTTATTAAGAAATTTTTTTGTATGATTAAATTTTCTTTTTAGTCTAGATTTACTATAATACCATAGATTCTGATTTCATCGTCGTTTACCCGTACTATCAAAATAGTTCAACCTTTTAATATTTGAATTTTCGTTTTCCTGTTGCTTTAATTCTGTCCACCCAGACGGCGTTAAGAGCATTCAAGTCAACCGACTGGAGGACATCTTTAATATTGATGTTTTGTGTGATAAAATACTTTTGGCTCTTGCTTTTTTTAACTTAGAGATGAGGGTCGCGATTCTCAAATTTGGTTATATAGAATTCCTGTCCATCGCTGAAAAAGAAACCACTCTAATAGCCAGGGGATCGCAATGGCGTGTTGATACGTAACAATTTTTAGGGATTCCGTTATTACTGCTCAGTGTAAATGAGGTATCAGTAGATATTACCGTTGTTGCCCAGGCGAAATTAAAGTGTTGCACCAGCAATCCAGACAATGATGGACCTATTGCCATCCTGATAAGAGAAAAATCGTAGTCCAAAAAAATAACACAAAGTAGCAATTTGTGAAGAGAATATTTATATTAATTTTTAAAATTGGCAAAATATATATTTCTAAAAATTTTACCAAATCGATAAAATAAAATAATTCTACAACTTGCTACAAAAAATCAATGTAAGTAAGTTCTAATGATTTTTCCTAAAATTTTGATTTGTAGCAAGGTATATTCGATTACCTCAGATATAACGGTTGATAAAAGCCTCAAACCTAATGATTTGCTCTTTTTAATTCTCTTAAAAAGTAATATTGCAAGTAAAATGCTTCATTTATTGTCATAGATTTTGAAGGTCCAGTTTCTAAAAAATAATTGACCACCTTGGACCTACCCAGTGTGTAATGCCGAGTTGAAGATTGAAGCCAAAGCACTTTGCGTAGAAAGATCTGCCGACATTCCGTATCGTCTAAAACGTAACGTGTATCAAAGTTGTCAAGGTTTAAATTGTCGCCTTTCTTTTGGGTTTTTAGAATTCCATCGAATGAATTGCCTAGAAAGCGTTGGTTTCCATTATTCAAATATTCTGCACCTTAAAAAGCTCAGAAAACGCTCTTCGAAGGTTTGCCATCAATGTGTACTAGTTAGGACACATATTGCAGTATGGAACAGGACGATTTTTGTGTGCAGCTACTACAGAGTATCCTGCTTAATACGACTGTCAGGTAACTTTTATTGAGGATGCAAATTTCGAAAGTTTAAAAATGACTACTTAAAAAGTTACAATTAGGCAGAAATTTTTGACATTTTAAAAATCTAAGTTAAGGAAATTTATGAAATCAAACCGTAATTATACCTGTTGTTACTTAAAACAAAATTGCATCGATTCAATATCTAGATTCAAATGAGTTTCTTACGTTGCAGACTTGCACATGTCAGATAGTGAGGGAACCATGTATAATGCCAATCCGAGGCCTGTTGTCCCCAAGGCTATGCAATTTAACCACAATGCACTTTGAAAGAAAAATAACATAGTTTGTCTGTGTCGAATCGTCATCCTGTCTAATTTTCATAAACCTTTTAACGAATTCCTATGTACATTTTGAAGCTAATTCGGAAAATCAATGTTGCTATGTCAAGATATTATAATCCAGGAAACATAATTTTCTGGAATGGGAATGATCTCATCAATGCCATTATAGGAAAAATGCCATGAAATCTACAAGGTTTCCGATAAACTGCAGCTTGTCGAGGGGGGGGGGGGAATTCAATTTCTGAGAAACTGGATCTGAAAAATGCTTATTGATCAGTTTTTAAAAGCACTTTGCCCCATCTGTCAAGAGTTAGAGTTTTTCAATGGTCTTTACTGCGTGTTTACAATAAAGAAACCATTGAGGATCAGCCGATTGGCTCAGAAACAATTGGTCTATTGTATAGTCTAACAAATGAGAATTTAAATGGCCAGCAAAATGCGTCGGGATATAGTGCAAAAAAACTACTTCGTTTTATCAAAATAACTTCGTTTTATCACAGAGAACTATCCAAAGCGGTGATATAGACACCAGAAGTGTGTTTCTAGATATTGTCTCACCTGGGTATTGCCGATATAAATGGTGGAGGGCCAAGCAATGGAAACGATAAGCCACAGATTATGGCACCGGAACAAATAGCATACCTGGTGTCCTGCAATGTGGCGAGAAAAAGCAAGTTATTTGAAAAGAAATGTTCACGGTCACTTGAAAATTAGATGTAAATAGATACTTGATTTATTCATGGGGGCTGCCCCAAAAGGGTGACGGGTAGTATACAATTATAACTTCATCGTTGAATCTTTGTAGTCAGCTAAGACCAATCATTAATTTGAATCATGCGCTCTATAGATCTGTCTTTTTGTTATTGATCAACAAATATGTGCTTTAAATGATTCTTGCACTTTATTCTTTATTACTCTTGGAAAGATTTAAGAAGATATTGTAATGCATACCGTTTTCTCGGCTAGCGTTCCAAGACCAGGTGCCGAAATTGCATAGGCAGCTCCCCAAATCAGAAATACAAATCCAACTTTTACAGTACCGAGATTAAACTGTAAATGGAATGTTATATCGCATGTTAATAATACATCCGATCTTTTTACAGCAATGAAAGAAAATTTTCATTTACAATCGAATGAATTCCTTTAAAGAATTTTAGAAATTCAAGTAGCAGAGACAATAATTGCATTAGCAGAAAAAGACTTGCGATGATAATATAATAGAGACTCCATGGAGAAGAGCAAATTGATGGAAAATGAAATCTAGTTGTTTATAATAAGCAAAATTCATTGTTCTGTTAAATTCTAGGTATGTCTTCTCTGGTTTCTGCATTTGCGGAATGTTTTGGTTGGTAAAAGAATTGGTTGGCTGAAGACTGTGTGGTTGATGTCAAATCACATCCAGGAATTTCTGGTTTACTATACAATAAATTTATTCATGTTGCTTTCAAGCTAATGCAGATATTAAGCAAGTCCCCGTCGAATAGAGTGCAAAGCCCCTTCCAAATCAAGCCCGATGGCCTACTTAATATTATCATGTATTGTCTGCTGCTATGTTTAAAATAAAGATTTATTATTCTCCGATTTTAACCAGCACTTTCTTTCTTTGTACTTACCGTGTTATTTAGATGTCGTTGAAGAATTGGGTCCAAGAAAGAAAGGGCCATCCCAGTGCAAATTGTGATTACTCCTAAGACAAGATTGCAAAATAGGAAAAAGAGCCGATTAACGGTTACTATTTTTATGATATTAATAAGAATAATCTTCGATACATTGGTATATGAGTACAAAAATCACTGGTTTATAATCTCATTCAGTTTTAATGTCATTTATGTAGACAAGAAATAACAATTGACCCAACACGGATCCCTGAGGTACAGCTGCTTCGAAATAATTAAAGGTATATGTCTCATTTCTGTTTACGGTAACTCAGATACCATTTGAAAGATTTCTTTTGACATCTTCTCCCATTGAACTCCTTCAGAAGACCCTCATGCAAATCCTTGCTAGTTGTTGAATGCCCTCAATATATCCAAGAAAACTGCGGATTACCCTTATCTAGGGTCAAGTGAATTTTATTTACAACATAGACTAACTGCTTCATTGTTGTGTCTAGAAAAATCCCTGTTCTTGAGTCTTCGAATAAAGTGAGTAACGGTTAAAGGGTATCAATATGATGCGCGTTAAGGTTTGTGTCATAGGACTAATTATCTGCATTGATTGGGAGATAGGACCTTTTCAATTTAAAACGATTTGTATCATCTTGTCAGGGCCCACGCCACCGGGGGCGGGGGGGGGGGGGTGGTTGGCGGAAAAGCCTTGACCTCCTACTTTTACTAGCCTTGGCTCCCCTCACTTTTAAAGGTTGTGGTGTAGGCCCTGTATGTGGTGAATATAGCATACGAATGAACTAAAGAATTGTACTAAGTGTCCTTGGCTCTTAATTAAAAGTAGAGTAGAAGCTTGAAAGTATCAAAATTACCCATGAAAAAGACAACAGGAATCTTCATGGCTTGGATGAGCTTCACGTTGTCGTTTTTTGGCACCTTTTCTGAGTTGAAACAAAATGTTTAGGTAAAACTTGAATTTCATGAGATTAATTTATGGAAATAAGCATTCGTCGTAGATGCCTAGTCATAAAGACTCTATTTTTGAAATTTTTGCATAGCCTCAAAAAAATAATTCTAAATAATCAGTAAAAATGCAAAAAAAGTAAGAAATAGCGAATCAAATATTTTGAGTAATAATATAGGATCCTAGTTCAAAAATAGCAATAAATATGTTTGTGATCTCTTAAAAACTTGTGAAGGGCATTGAATTTTTTCAAGAAAGTGGATAAAAGAATTAATCCGCCATTTGGCAGTAACAGTAGAATTTGTATCTTATTGGAATACAACAGTTGGATAAATATTTATCTCAACAGATCATATATATAAGAGAAATATTGGGCTGCAGTTATCTTAACAATGTATGGAATGTCAGGCTCCATTTATAATGTGTTCGTTAACATGCATAAAAATTTATTTACCAGTATTTAAGGTATGTCTGGCAGCAAATGGTTTTCAACGTAGATTATAAATATATATATATAAATATATATACTATAAATATATATATATATATATATATCAAAAATTCGAGGTACAAGAAACTTACCAATCTTAATAGCTGGCAAAATAAAGTATAACGGAAAGAAGAAAAGAAGAGCAGTGACTCCCACAGCCAAAAATGGAAGCTTAAATCCACCTGCCTGAAAAAAGATGTGCCAGTTTCAATTTTTAACAAAATTTGTATTGCAAAACAATGATTATCGTTATTCCAAAAGCAAAATGCTTTTTATACCAGTTTGTTTTTTATAAATTAAGGCATTTTACTCTGGTAGCTGCTTTAAGATAAAACTTCAAGTCATAACGCGTTTCCTAGTGCTTAATTTCCCTACTGCAAATAGTCATATTAACTCACATTATATAAAAATCCGCCAATTGGGGGACCAGCCATAAAACCAAAACCAGAGAAGGCTTCCAAAACTCCCTGTTGAATCAGATTTAAATATTATAGAGAAATAGATCAACTGAAGCTACATAGAAATTTGTAAACTGGGCAATTTCCTGCTTCAATTTGCTTCAATTACTAATACAATGTTTCCTTTCAAGCAAAAATGAGTCTGCTATTTTAAATAGCATACCAGAAACAAAGACCCAGAACCTTAAAGAAGAACTAACACGCGAAAATCGTGGGCGATCATCTTTGGCGTCACAAGTGACACGTTTCAATGGTTTTGGACACTGAATTATACTAATTTCGAGACAAATGGAAAATTTCAGCCGTCTGAATTTTTGCTATCAACCAGCGCTGCCGCTTGGGCAGACAGTCGTCCCATGGCTCAACAGTGACGATGTTATGAATAAAGCTAAGACTGAAAGTACAAACAGATTTTGAATTTCTATCAAAAACATTGCTGCGCCTCTAACAACTCAACCATCCTCGCACTTCGTGCCTACATTCAAACTTGTCGTTTGGCACGTATACATGCGGGGTTTGCCCCCTCAAAATCACTTTCAAAACTGTACTTAAATCAAAACACAAATAAACCTGCTTTTAGCTTCATGCAATATTATCCCCTCAAAGCTTGCTAGGTCCGGGCACGTGTGGCGCGTAATTTAAAGACACGAAAAAAGACGCATGGAATAAGACATATGGAGAATTGAATCACCTTATCTTACAGATTATGACCTTTTGATGGATTTCGTCACAATATTTGTTTGTTAAATCCCTAGGGTCATTTTATATTGGTTTTTATGTTGGAATTCTACAATAATCTACATACAATTGCAGGTGACATGTTGCTTTGAAAAGTATTTGCGACCATCGCCAGTGCACTAGTAATAGTGGCACATCCTCCAACAGCAGATAAACCTCTAATTCCAAACGTAGCAACCAAAAAGAGGTCTTTCCTTTGAATTTTGTCTACATACCTGAAATGCAGGGAAATTTAATTGGCAAATTGTTTAGACATGGCAAGTTAATGTATTTAGATAAATCTTTGCATTGTTGCTATTCAAGAAAAGTGGGTATCCTTCCTCTAAGAAGCGTCCTAACAGTGCCTTTATTTTAGCAAGAGGATGCATGTCGATATGATGTGCTTCTGATAGATCTATCAAACTTGTCCATTCTAACCTAATTTTTTCCTTAACGTGTTAAAGCCATGCCTGTTTACAGCCTAGTCTAAGTGCTGCCCTGCCAATATGCCGTGCCTCCATTATGCAGTCGTCGTCAGGTGTCTTGCTTTCAGCAGGTGATGGAGGCTCACTCCAACCCAGAGGCGGATCAGGGTGTCCGCATCGTTCGCACATAAGAATGTCAATTTGAACAGATTTTAACAGATTTATGCAAGTTCTTAAATGTTATTATTGCCAAATGCAAGGTCTCATATTGCGATTTCCAGACCAAATTTCAGCACTTTGAATTTCGTTAAATGTCAAATTTTCCGTGGCACTCTGGACCCCTAGCAGGGTTTTGCCCTACTTCCAGAGACCCCATACTATCAACTGGTTTAATTTCAGGCTGGAACCGTCCCTGCACCCTTTGCGGTGCCTTTCTTGCAGCCTCTGAATAGTTCATTCCAGTCCAATCTTTTATGCTCCCAAGTCATGTTCCTCTTGGTCTGCCTTTCCTTCTCTTCGCGTTGAATTTCTCATTTGAAAAAGGACAGGTTCGGCTAGACTGAGCAGAAGAATAGAGCTGGATAGTAAAATATTTTGTAATGATTTGTAATATTTTGTAAAATATAAAATACATATAATCAGAAATTAGGTTTCAAAACAGATCAAAATGGAAAATACCCACCCAAAAATTATATTTGTTATGCCCTCAATTACCAAACCAAGAAGCGCAACAGATTTGGGATCGGCAATTGTCATCTAAATCAAAATATGATAAAAGGTTCATCACACTTTAGATTTTGAATTTGCTACTAGACTAGCCCAGGAGCGGATTGGCCCGGGTTGCTAGGTGGCAATCGCTACCCGGGCTCCTCAGAATGTTTTAAAGCGGGCCCTTCTTAAAGAGAAATTGTTGAATTTGAGCATAAATCCATAACTATAAAGTTCAACTTTGCTGATTGAAAACAATGGGTATCCCGCCTAAATTCTTTTGAACCGACTGAAGCTATGCAAATTAGTATCAATTTAAAGAGTACGTGGTTTTCTAAATGACCACACATATTCAAGGCCTAGTCACGCACTACGAGCCTTTTCAGAGCCACAAAGCCACCCCAGAAGAAAAGAGCCAGTCCGCCCCTGAGCTAGACAAATCATCCAATTTACGAATGAAACATAAACACCAAGTCATAAAGCAAGTAAATGGTTTTAACTAGAGTTGTAAAATGCTATGTAACTCTTCTGTATGCTTACTTACGGTTCCCAGTGCTGGACAACATCTTATAAAAGACTAGGAAGCGAATAGAAGGTACTGAAATGTGGTTTCATGGACAAATGCTTAAAATACCTTTGGTACAACGACATGTCAGGATTGAAGAGGTACTCCAGATAGCAAAGTCAAAGAGAAACATATGGATAGCTTTCAAGGAAAGGCAGGGCCTTTTCAACGTATTAACTAGGAGGGTTATTCCCCCTGCAGCCCCAATGACATTCAATTTTTTTAAACAATAGGCTTCTGTTTTCATCTCTTTAAAAAAGAAACGCTTGCCTCACAGCAAATTTCCCATGGGTATCAAGAAAGGAAAAAAAGTACATGATATACGGAACGAAGGATTTGAACAAATCATATGAAACATGTTGAATAAGATCAAATCCATATCAAGCTTCAAATGCTCTTAAAAGCTGTTTTTGGACTGGGATACTGGAATAGCATCACAACTTTTAGGCATAACTTTGCGAGTTATAAAACAACGTCTTAAATTTGCGGGTAATGAACTGAAACTTCTTTTCTTGCATAATTTGACGTGCTGAACAAATAAGATGCAAACCAGCTTTAAAAATTCCACAATAGCAAGCTCTTTAACTTTATAAATATGGGAGTTAAAGAACTGGAAATTTGGTTCCTGACGTTATTTGAAGCGCTAAATAAAATTAAATGCAGACCTAATTTTAAAATTTCACAAAAAGCTGTATAAGACTGAGGTTCTTATATTCAGACCACTTCTGGATGTCGCACTAAAACTTTCTAACTATTACAACTGAAACACTGTTTCCTGGCGAAATCTGACGTGTTTAAATAGATAGATAACACCTCTCGTCTGTGAAACAAAGAAATCAACTACCTAATTACCCATAAAATATATTTTTTGATCTATAAGATATATATTCTTTGATAGACCTTTTTTGTTCACCTTTAGCTAGTAGAGATGTGAATCGCTTGCCACGTCTTTTTGTCAAGCTTTAATGAGAAACACTTATTATATAAACCAGGAAAGGTTCAAAGAAATGTGAAGGAAATTGCTGGGCCTCAACTAGAGAATAAGCAAAGTTTTTGGAAAAAAATAAAACTCCGTTCACGCGAGGAAAAAGTAACCTAATCAGGGTCGTTATGGATGCAGGTCTCCGAACAAAAGACATTGCACAAAATTCAGAATGTAGAAAGCAGTCTCGGTCGAACAATACATTTCTCGTTTCACTTCACGCATGAGTAAAAATGCAGAATTATTTTTTGTCGCTCTTACGCATGCGCCTCGTTAGAAAGCAACTTACCAAAGCACCAATCATTGGGGAACAGATAACTAGCACCATATGATAGGATGTGAAGACCAAGCTTGAGGTTGCCACACTCACACCTTTAGAATCAGCCTAAAATCATAGAACAGAGTTTATTCAAACGATAATGAAACTCCAGTATGTTTACTTTTTAGTGGAGGTCAAGCCTTCTCTCTTTCGAGGGGCAAATCACTTCAAGAAATTCTCGTACACCTTCCGTGAAAATCCTTTTGTTTTAATATAACTGAAAATCCCCAGAAATCCTTTTGTTTTAAGGAAAATCTCGTACACTATTTGCAAGAGTGAATTGCCCCTTGCTCTCGGTGGTATTCCTTCCTGTTAACCCACTAATTTGGAAATATTTACCCTATCAAACCTTCTGCTGAAATGCATACTAATTAGATATTAGGTTCTATACGAGGTTACCACAGAACTGACAAATGAATATCTTGTTGCCATAATGGTCAGGCTTAGTTTTATAAATCAACTTTCATGTGATGTGATGGAAGAACGCATTTTGAAAAACTATCGAAAGCCTTAAAATTGAAATCTATAAGTGAGTTCCTATTTGGTATACTCAGCAATATATTGTCGTTGCTGCTTTCTATAGTCAAGTTATGTTCTCGTGTACCAAGATGTAATTATACATTAACTGAATACACAACCGGTCTTTATTATCTAACTCTGTCTCGCCTCCTTTTAAATAGCAGAAGCACTATAGCAAATTAAACTGTTTGTTAAGTTAGAACTTCGTCACAAGAGATATACCGTAGTTACATACTCCAATCAATATGGTTCTAAAGTCTTTCATTCAATTCGCAAAAAGCAGTAAAATTTTTTCACATAATGGCATAATTTTCTAACTTCGTGCAATCAAATTCTGGGTTGTAATACTAGGCCAAGAGTGGTCGATGCAGCTTCAGAACTCCACAAATAAATCAAGTTATTAAAACATCACCAAAATCAATATCATTATTAGCATTTAAATTAAAACACGCTTTTTCGATACTTTGGCCTACAATGCCATTTTATAGCATAGGAGTACCATTTCACAAAACAACTAGTACAATTTTAAAAAACATAGGGTACCATCTTACAAACGAAAGGGTACCATTTCACAAAACAGCGGGTACCATTTTACAAAAGAAATGGTACTGTTTTATGAAACAGAGGATACCATTATTCGAAACATAAGGTAAAATTTCAGAAAACAAATTGTACCGTATTATAAATGCAAGGTAGCTACAATTTTAGAAAAAAGTATTTACATAATTTTGGCGGTAACGGCACCCCATACGCGTCTTCGTCGTTCATGGAAACGGTAAATAAAAGTGGCGGCTAGAAGTGGCCAAGGGCCTAAACCGGTAAATTTCCAAACTGAATTATAAAAGGTGAATGGGCTTGAAAACAATAGTTTATGGCACAAAAATGAATAAGTGATTGGTTTGTTGTCTTGAGGAAGAAATTCAATAAATCTTTGAAGCAGCGCTTCAAATCGGTTTTGTGCAAAATTGCTGAAATATCCGTAAAAGGTGATAGTGAGATGTTGTTTTTCTGACAAAGGAAGTAATTCGTAAGTAAAACAATATTTGGGTGGTACAAAATTTGAAAAAGACTTTGAAAAAAGCAAACATTTGAGTAATGATTTTTTTTAAACCAGTTGTCATTTCATTTTGAAAAACATAACACTTACAAATCTCACTATTACAAGGTAGTTTGTATGTGGCACACTTACATTGAAAAAAAACAAGTGTAAAAGTGTACAAGTGTAAAAGAAAAAAGAAAACGGTTGTACACAGCATGAATATAAGCATGATGATGTAATGATGGTGATGATGTTGATAATGCTTATGAGGATGACAAAAGTAGCGACGATGTTGATGATGGCAATATTGAAGCGAACTAGATGCTGAGGATCTGTAACAGTGGATCTGAATTGAGTAGTTGCTGAGGAAATGTTCTTGTATCATAGAATTCTGTGTTGCGGAGTGTCTGTAAATTCTTGAAATTCTTTAAATTGGTCGATTCCTTTTGCTGATTGTGAAAAATAATTGTACATGTCCCAAATTAGTTGGTCAATGTTTCCTGGCAATACTTTCAAAGCGTAGCTAACGCTGAGTGCAGTTGAATGGCACATACATTTCAGAACAAGGCAAGATGGACTGGCTTCTTTGATGCGTGTTTAAACTGAATTGTTGCTTCCGAACATAACATTTGTTGTGTCAACGGAGAATCCAATAAGATTTTCTATTCCGAAATGATTTTTTTGCAGCTCTCTGCATAACACCACAAACAGATCTTCTGCTTTTCCAGATGTGACAAGAACCAGGTTCAAGAGCTTTGTCTGAACACTTTCATTTTTCATTGAAAAATACTGCACAGCAACAGCCAATGATTTATCAATCAACAGACCGTTCAACAATTTAAAGAGAAGTGTTTTGTGTTCATGATATCTTTAAAAACTTCAGTCTTGAACTCTGCTCCTAAAACATTGTATGCTAAACAGGTGGCTTTGATTCTTTTGCAAGCAAATTCTTTTGCTATCGCTAAGTCATGAAAGGCCCTTGGCAAGACTTTCGAGAGGTGATCCATTTCCCTGAATGAAATATTGTGATCAACTGCGAAGGCTGTAATCATTAGCTCGGCTCTTTTGGTTTATAGGATGTCACTTTATTAGTACCAGAAGGACTTGACAGGAAACATTGATGTCGACTGCTTTTTTCGTGTTGTGTTATGACTCTGAGTTTTGGTATTATCTCATATTTACACCACTTACAGTACGCACTATTCGTCTCAGTTCTATCAAGCCATTTTCCTGCCTTTCTCATTTTTTTACATGTTACCTGTACGCTAAGAACTTACGGACCGAGTTAATAAACGAAAACATTTCAATGATATTTGTATGTAGACTATAGTTTTACTCACGGAGCGTTTAAAGGAAATCGTCAATCAAATATGTTCAAATACAAACGTTGTTAAGGGCCTAGTCGCCTTCCACTGATATGATAAAGAAGCCAGACAAAATACACTTAATATGATCTCGTGTTAATTGGGTGTTAAAAGTTTGCATGCAGATACTTGACATCCACACTTTTCCCAGTTGGCCCGAAACTTAGTAACAAAATTATAACATTATCTTAATAATGTAAAAATTACAGTTATTATCGTGCATGGGGACTTATAATGCATATCAAGAAATGTTACTCTGTGGCTGCCGCGTGTCTTTTGGTAAGCAGGGGCGCACCCTACTTATATAAGCACATAAATGTACCAAATATATGAAAAGCTCACCTCTTGCGGAAAAAACGGAGCAATCATTGAAACGGAATAAAAAGATAAAAACCACAGCAAGGAGAGGCAAAGCAGAATGGCTGTTTTTTTCCATTTTGCACAAGGAACCTTGTTGTTGTCAACGTTTTCGGTCACCTCCTCCCCCGGACTCTCTTCCGTTTCTGACATTTCCTCTCGAGAACCATTTTTAGATCTAGGAATCAATGTTTCAAGTTCAACGTTTTTAGACCCTCTGTACTCATTATTCGATTGGCACAACATGGCTGGGTTGCATTATCCTCAAGAACTGTTAAAGGGCCACTCCAGCCCAAAATTTTTATTTCAGAACACGATGTAATCAGACCTCCTGAAAACGAATCTGTTATTATTTGTTTCAAATCTCTTACCCTTTTGTAGTTATTAGCGTTTGTAAAATGGTCATTGAGTTGAATTGTTTTTCAACCGTGTTATCGGAGATCTTCGGATTGACGTCACAGGCATTTTCGGCCTCGGTAAATTCGCGGCAAGTATCATCGGCTGTCCAAAGGGTCAACGAGAACCTAGCGAAATGGCAGACAGGGCCTAGCAGCGGCATGTTTGTTAGAAGGCCAGACTTTTATCTGGTATCGATATAAAGAGAGAAGTATCATCCATCAGTCTCGATATTCTGATCGAATATGGAAGTTTTTTATCGCACGAATCTTTCTGACAGAGAAGTCAAATTGTCAAAGTAGGCCAGCGAGACAGAGACATGAGGATGTTGACAGACTTTCATGGAATGTTGCTTTTGAAGGCCGGCCATATTGGCAGTATTGGCAGGCCAGCTCCCTGATTTTAAAAAGAAGATTCGCGCTTTTTCATCAGCTCTTCCTTTAGTGCAACAGCTAAAAAACCATCGCGCAATTAATTCGGGAGGAAAGACCAAAACAAAACCAGTATACCGGGAATGAAAGCTGTATGAATTGATTGGGATAATTCATCATATTCATTAGGATAAAGAGCTTCATATCAACATGACTATGACTTATTAGAAATAAACCAGGACAATCGAGGGCATGGACAAGAAAGTATACAACTTTCAAGACAAGACTAAAAACCTACCATTAGTCATGAGTCAAACATCTTTTTCAAAAATTATAAATTTGTTTTTATACAAACAAAAAAAGGGATTTGAGATTATATTAATAATTCAACTTTTTCAATATACTTGTGTAAATATAATTTTTGTATTTAATCTTTAAGCTATTACAGGGGCCTTGTCAGCTCCTTTAAGCTGTCAGAATTTCAACCTGCTATATTTATAAATAATAAATACATGTTTGTATTTAAATACTTGGCTACATTGAATTATATATTTAAATATCTATACAATCAGGCCAGTGAACCAGCTAACAATTTGTAATTTCTATTGCACATGAGAAATGTTCTTATAAAAGTATCATGAAACAATAATCTATTGCAAAATTTCTAGAAAATACCTCTATGTTGTTACTAGTTTGAAATAATAGCTGTGGATTTGCAAACTTTATATAGAAATGACCAAATTATATATAAAATTTTGATAATTTTAAAAATAGTCTCCTTTGTAAAAGTTTTGATACAAAAACAGAACAATGTGTCAAGGTCTTTGTGGTAACTCTTGCAGGGAAGAGAGGGGCAAGTTATCACTCCCACAAAGCCAGTAGCCAGATAACAGGATGCATGTAATCTCCAACCTTCATCTAGCATTTTTGTGCAAGATCCTTTCTGATGATCCAGAAAAGAGTTTGTTACCTTTTTTATGCCTAGAATAATAAGGTTGACAGAGATAAATACTAACATACCAGTGAAATTTACTTTAGAGTCATATTAAAACATAAAATGGTCAAAGAAATCACTACCTTGGACACTCAGGGTATAGATATCTAAAAGGATCAAAGAGAAATTTAGGGGTGAAAGGGCAACCACTGTTACTATAGCAAATAGCATCTAAGGATATTAAAATGAAGTAACACAAAGATGAATTTAAATGATATTATAGACCATGCTTACATGAATCAATGCTAGAATAGCAATAAGGTAAATTTAACAAATATAAACAATTCTGTCTTAACATTAGAATGAGGATATGACACATCTTTTTTCCAAAACCAAGGGTGTAAATTCCATGTTTTCTCTTTGGGGTAGTAGATCTTTTGCCCTGGATATTGATCTGGCAAAATTTTGAAATTGTGCATCAATTTTATGATGAAATAGGCAGAACTCCAAAATTGAAGACAGAAAATGGTAGAACATGAAGAAAAAGGGTCCAGGAGACAAACCCTGGAAAATGTTACACATCTATACTTCGGGCAAAGGTGTAGTGCACAGATCATTGGCAGGGATGTAGTGCTAGGAGGCTCAGGCCCCCTTGTTGGTACAAAAAAGTAGCAAACTTCTACTTTTGGTACTATTTTATGTGACATTTGCTTGAGAGCCCCTGTTGTACTATTCATATTACCCGATTTCTGAACATTTGGCGGACAGTTCACAAGACTGGCTGTTAGAAAACTTATCTTTAGAGGACGAAGTTTTTCTCAAAGCACGGCAAATTGCGTTGCTTAGGGGGCTTCCCCAAACCCCTTCCAAACCTCTACACCCTGCAGTTTCGCAAAACGTTCAACATAGTAAAATGATAATAAGGATGAATTGTGACTTACGGGAAAGTTTCCATCTTGTGTGAATAGGGTTCTTCTTCTAATGCGGTGAGACATAATTATTATTCAGCTCCCTGGAAATCACTGAGATGACACGACGATAAGAAATGCCTTCGGTCAGAAATCCATTCACATCTGAAAATTCGTGAAGCATTCCATTTTGAAAAGCTTGCTGCGTTGCCAAGATGAGGATTTGCATTCAGGTTGAAGTTTCCATCTTTGATTTGTCGAATTACTAGTCCATGTTGGTTGGAAGCCTCCGCTGAACATCAATCGCAATGAAGGAAAATAAATAAAACGACAACCGAGATTCCGACATGAATCGCCTCTTCCGAGCCTCTACCGAGTCGTGCGAATTTCAGTGCGAACGTATAACAATAGCGCCGAATGTTGAAACAATAGCCCTTTCACACGTCACAAAGTGCTTTTTCCGAAAAAAATTTGGTCGTATTTTTACGGTGATTCTCAACTTTGAGCGTCTATATCTGGAAAACGAGTTAAGCTTTTCGAAAAAAAATTTCACGATAACTTCTTTTTCTCGACTAACTACCAATTTATGCAAAAATCTCAGAAAAAATTTTTGGGCTGGAGTGGCCCTTTAAGAACTGCATCATTGAATAAGGCTCGCTATAACAAAAGGGGTATGTGATTGCTCATGGACCATAAACCACAACACGACGCCATGGTCAAAACCATTCAATTCCTTTAGAGTCACATCGTGGACAAAATGACAACCGATAGATCGTACCGTGATACGTGGATACCGTCAGATACCCGTGGATTGTCCCTTTACGTCACGGCACGGGTTTGACAAATTTGACGACTCGATCTATCGCATCGTTGCCCATGAGGCGGTATTGTATCGTTGCTTAGGCCAAAAATACAAGGGTGCTGAAGTTCCTACTCGCTGTAAATGAAGATGGCTGTTAATGTCTACAGCACCAGTGCTACGTCCAAGAATCTTAGTAGACATGAAAAGCTAGCATGGATAAACAAATCACTAGTAAAATCTTTCCAAAAAGTCGAGCAGTTATGCACCGGTGCGGCTTATTGTCAATTTTTGGACATGTTATTTGAACCTTGAAATTGTGTAGATTGTCCCGTCAAATCCATAATCATAAGGTGTCATCACCTAATGATAAACACTGCATGCAGCCAGTGGCGTAACAGAAACACTCGGGGCCCTTAGGAATTTACTAAGATGGGGCCCTTATTTAGGGACTGCGAAGTGAAGTGAGCTCTACGGGGAAAAGGGGTTCGGGGTAATGGGAAAATGTTTAAAATCGTGCCCTTTAGAACCTCGAGAAATGCACGTGATGTGGTAAAGAAAATGTTTACATATGAAAAAACCAACAGTAAATTAGGTGTTCTTGCTCACAACGTGAGCTTTTCTCGTGCATTAACGTTGGCAAAATCCTTTATAAGCTTTGTTTTGTCAATTATCTTTGCTTCCTTGTTCTCAATTGACAAAGTTGCTAGGTCGTCCAGTCTCTCCTGTGACATTGTAGATCTTAGAAATGTCTTTATCAGTTTCAACTTTCAAAATGATCTGTCTGCCGATGCAACAGTTACTGGCAAAGTGACGAAAAGTGTTAATAGATTGTACATTTCTGGAAAGGATGAACTAATACGGCTCTGAAGCACGAGGTTATTAACTTCTAGAACAGTTTTCTTGACTGCAATCTCCTTTCTGAATTCGGTTGCAAATTATCTCATCCCAGAATCTAATTCATCTGTAAAGTCATTTGGTTATTTCGCACGAATTACTCGTACTGCATTTTCAAGCATGTCAGGACTCAGTGTTGCCAGGTTGTTGGGGTAGAGACAGCTGAATAATGACGTCACCATTGCTTGTCCTTGAACCTTTCTGTCAGTTGCATCAATGCTGTATCAACAGTCTTGTAGAAAACGTTTATCTTAAAACTTTGCTCAGGATCCATCAGTCTTCCATCTACAACAAGTTCATCTGATTCATATCTTGCCTTCCGACCCCTCTTTTGTTGAAACTCTAGCGATCCATCCCAAGATTTTGCAAGTGCTGTGGCAGTCAGCATTATAGACTGCCACGATTCTCGAAGATATTGGAGCTCCGAGAGTGCAATATTAAGGTGTCTAGAGGCAACTGACAAGTCAATCCTAGGGGACTGAAGCTCCTTTGATACTGCATTGACTGATCTTAGTATTCTCTCCCAGAATACAAGGAAAATAATAAATTCCAGTGTGTCAATTTTTTTCTTTAGACTCTTTGCGTTGTCACGCTCATTCTTCTTGTTTGATGTTAAGATGAGTCGCGTCAGAAGCCTCATTATCTGGGGATACTTGTCACGCACAGCTCGCATTGTATCAATGCGAGAGCTCCAACGTGTCGTACATAACTTTTTTAGTGTCAGTGATCCTTTCCCAGCTTCGATTCCAAGATCTCTCCATCTATTCAAGGAAGAGCCAAAAAACTGAAGGTATCTCGAAGGGTCGCAAAAAAGTTTTCACTCATAACGTGTGATTGCCCACCTAATAACAACGGTTAATTGGTCGACTCTGGTAATATCACTGGTGGAATCCAAGATAATACTTCAGAATGGTGCGGAATTAATATTTTCTACCAAAGTCGAGGATACAGTATTTGCAAGCAAATCAAACAGCTTATTTTGGATCTTAGCGCTAAGGTATTCTGTTGCTCTACCCGGAAGAAATATAACTTCTGCTAGAAATTCATCATATTCAGCCATAAGAGAGACCAATGCCAAGAAGTTCCCATCTTCACACAAATTATCATGAACCTGCTTTCTGTGCCTTCTGAATGCCAAGGTCAAAGTTGTCATTGTCAGTTTAATTGAAATAAGCCATTGAAGAATTATAGCGAATAAACAAAACAAAACAGAATGAATGAATGAATATAGTGTTGTGTTAGCAACACTGTTTAGTAAGAACTTTTGGGATGGCTTTAGGAAACCTTGTCAACATGGTAAAAAAGCACAAAATACGAATTCTGTGAGCATTGCATTCTGTGGCATTGCTCACAGAAGGAAAGCAAGTGAATTGCTATCAATTAATCCCCTTTTGGCCACCTGACCAAAATAAACAACCTAAGTAGGAGGACTGGACCCAAATTAAGAAGGGAAGGGTTTGGGCGTTTGTGTATCGGCCCGTGCCTGCCTGACCGAATTAATCAAAATTTTACGGTCGGTGATTGGCAAAAGTAAATTTCCGGTAGGCCGCCAATACGCCAGTTCCGCAGACGATAGGATGTCTGCAGAAAACAGCGGTAGGTAGAAAAGATTAGAGTATAGGAAAGAAAAGGGGGCTGGGCGATTGGGGAAAAACTGCAATAAACTGTGAAAATGTTGCTTATCGAAATGCTCGCAACTAGTGCTCAAGATGAACCTCGTGGTCGGAGAGCCAACTGGTAAAACCGGTTTAAACTGAAATAGTCCGACTGGTGCTGCGCAGTAACCAGGTGGTCTCAAGGCGGGTATTAACTCCGGTTAAAGGGGGGGGGGCTCTAACCACCATCTAAACATGGGACCGAAGATGGCCTCGAAGATGTCATCCCGGCAGAGGGTTCGTCTGATTTTGTAAACGACGCTAACAAAATATACAACGGTACGTGTATCTTCGAGGCCATCTTCGATCCCATGTTTAGTTGATGGCAATACATTTGCTTTCCTACTGTGAGCAAATGTATTGCGATCGAAACCTTTCTGAGACCATCGGCAAGAGCAACACAAACAAAAGATACCATGGCTTCAAAACATATATAATTTAATTCCATTTTTGTTAAATTTCTAAATCAAAAAAAGATGTGATATAGACCCAGATCTATCTTGCTCCTAGCCCCTAAGTTCCATTTTAAAACCGAGGTACTCTGGTCCAGACCCCTAATTGTACCATTAGTTTTATAGCCTTATTTTTATATAATATTGTAAATTAGGTTAGGTTAGTAAATTAAGTTAGGCAGATTCATTGTAGAAAATGAACAAGATTTTTCCTTCCCCGAATCAACAACAGTCAATGGCGAGGAAATTTGTCAAAGAAGGATGAGGCGCGTACAATGAATTTGATTCTACCAATAACATAATTTCCGTCCACATGCCACCATTTGATGGTTATTCTTAAAAAACACTACCATTTGAGGGTAGTTTTTTAATATTTAAGCTTCGCAATCCCCTTGCCCTTCTTCATCCTTCGACTCTCTGAAGCTCTGACACCCAGGGTACTCGAAAAGATTTCTTGGCATAATTGTAAATTTGAAAGATAACTGCTTTTAAAAGTGATATCTTTGAAAAGCAAGAAGCTATATTATCGGCTCCTTATATTTATACAAATGACAATGCAAAATTTTCAATGCTTCAAAAAATTTAATATTCAAATTGTGACGGTTAAAGCTGGGGTGTGAAGGAATAGAAAAGTGGCCTAGCTTTCTGTTAGCATAGTCGCTTGAAAGAACTATGCTAGGAAAAGAGTTGTAGTGTTAGCCCCGCCCTTGTTAATGCTGAAAAGTAGCCAATTTCTACTTTTGCTGTTGTTCTTTGCAACATTTTCTGCAAAGGGCCTTCTTGGAGACACCACGGAAACCTCAGACCTCAGAAAGCTACCGGATTGACAAAGGCAGTTTCGAATGCGATTGAAAAGCATGTAATTTTCAGCCAGTGTAAGAGCAAGCAATGGGAAACGTTGTGTGCGAATTTTTGCTAGAGAATTACTGGTATGCAGTTATGTTTCAGCTAGGGCTGAATGTCTTTTCTTCCATGACGTACATCAATGCATTTATAGGCCCCGGGTCAACGGGTCAATCTGGGGTCACGGAGAGGATTTATAGGCCCCGGGTCAAAACGAAAGATAGAAAGCAAGTGGTCCGAGAATATTTTTTGAGACGATGGTTGCTTAAATTGCGGCTATTTTGGTTGCTGAAATTGCGATGGTGGCTATTACTTCTTTGGTCATTTAAAGGGGGCCTAATATAGGGGGGGGGCAAAAGCCGCAAAACCGTGCAAAAATCAATCAAATGCCGCAATCCGTAATGAAATTGAGAGCGCCTATATGGGAAAATTGAAATATGAAAAAAATTAAGTTTTCGGGGAGAAAATATAACTATTTAGATTTTTTGGTTTTGAAATATGAAATAACTTTGGTTCCCAGTATGAAATATGAAATAACAAAACAACTGAATACATCTTTTAATGTTGCTTAAGAATTATCTATTTGATAACAGCATTGACTCAAGTGACTTTTTATATGTACAGCTGTTAAGATACCATATTACGCCTGGGTTGCTCTTTTAAAATTTTCAAACTTTTTTGAGGCATTTTCTCAAAGGAGGCGCTTAAAAGAAGAGGCGGCCTTCCATACTTCACGATTAGTAAAAATGCTAGTGGCATAGAATCTATCGCAAATAGTTTTGGCTTATATTATCTCAACATAATAGACGGGAACATCAAATGGCATCATAAAAGTGTTTTTATCTACATTAATTGTTCCACATCTTTATACTGTAAATTCTTTCTAAGACGACTAGACAACAGTTTTGTAAACCATTGAAGTTGCGGGATTAATTTGCTGATTAAATCTGTCCTCTAAATCTTCAAATCTCTACCAGATATTGTTCATTTTTCAATTTTTTTTATCTGAGGCTAGATATGTTTCCCGCGAAGTTATTCTTATTTTAAACAACTTTAATAAAGCACGTAATACACCAATTCAACTTACAGCCTCATTTCTGCGTTAAATCTCCAATGCAAGCACAAACAATATGAAAAAATTGTATCCAGCCAATTATGATGATAAAGCCAAATCTGAGCATTAAAAGGTCGTACATAATGAAGCTTAGAGAAATTTCCTAAACGAGGCCGTAAGTCGAATTGGTGTATACTTGAGAAAAGCAAGTAACCGATCTCTCCTAATGTCAAAAAAAATTGTTTCTGACTTTTCAATTCAATATGGCGCCAATAAACAATGCTAAAAATTGTTAGATATTATGTTTTTGATGCAAGACGAAGTAACTATATTAGATCAAGCTATAAGGAAAAATCATGAAAAGCCACGTGAAGGCAACCGTAAAGAGAATTTGGTCCACTACAGCTCCTGCTTTTCACACTCGACGAGTACCCCTTGAAAAGACACCTAAAATATATACTCTTTAGAAACATGTAGTCAATCTCTAGTATTTATAACGAGTTCTTCTTTAGAACATCGAAAGAGTGGATTTTGCTTAGTTTTAGCTTTGCATGAACTTTATTTTAGCGTTTTTTCTTGCTATCTTATGCATTCAAGACTGCAAGTGACTAGAAATAACAGTATGACTGTAGTATGAAGAATTGATTAAAGAACTGAATTTACAACGCTTATTTCTCAATCTTTTCATTGCATTAAGTTTGTTTCTGACTTTGCCTTCTAGTGTTGCATCAGGCGAAATATCGACCAGTAAGCTCAAATTCATAAAGTATTATCTTCGCTTTATCATTGACCAAAACAGGCTTAGCTCACTGGTTTCAATGTCCATGGAAACTGAAATTGCCTAAAAACTTGACTATAGCCCCATAATTTACCTTTTTACAAATGCAAAATCTTGAAAATTGTTTTGTTAACTATTTAGACAATTACCGAAAGCTACTAGCGCTGTTAGAGTTACATAAATGGGGTAATACTATTACTGCTTCTACCTTATTTATTTTAGAGGCTTTTGCGACTATTGTTTCTATTATTGAAAGGTTTTGATAATGGAGAAGCTGAATTGCTACTTATCAACTTTGACTAAGTTATTATCTGTGAGCCCATAAAGTCATGAGTCCCCGCAAGGCATATCTTAACATATGTACTGGTGGGCCGACGGGCCCACCAGGCCCCACCAATGGCCCACTACTGAACCAAAATTTTTCATATTTGGCCCACCACTAAATGGGCCCTTTTTAACAAATCAAGTGACCAGAACAGAAATAACACAACAACACGATTGTGTAAAATCATTTACTTTGTCGCATTTTGACTTGCTGCCAAGGCAACATTCTACACATATCTTTAAATGGCAGTGGAACCTCGTTATTCGACCCCAGAGAGGCAGTGGCTGAATTTCTTAAACGAAAAACCCGAAGAAACTCTACTCCCGATCCAGAGCTTTTTAGAGACAGAGAATACATGAAAATTTTTTCCAGAACCTCAGCTGTATGTTTGTGAACACAGTAAATATGTGAACTTATATTCAAACATAACTATATTATATGATTAAACTGGTGAATGTATAAGTTAAGAAAGTTAACTTGGTTTTAGTCTCTCATTCTGCGCTCATCCTACCATCTTATGTAGTGTTTGAGTGGGTAGGCCTGAGTACACACCTGAGTGTGGCATTGAGGTTCAAGTAGAAATTATGGGGCAAAAATTGTTTGGCCATGACCTTAATGGGCCCCTATGTGACTCTGGCCCACTATTGAAAAATTTTTAAAATATGCATTGAGTCCCCGGGTCAGTGACCCCCCTTCCCCCCCTTCCCCCCTCTCCTCAGCACTGAATGCACCAAGAAGGCGACGTAGCGCACCTTTCCGACCCAACTTAAGAGATATTTTTCGAAAAATTTTCAGTTGAATGACTACAGAAAATCTAAAATTTTGTAGCTTTTGTTGCGTTTTCAACTCATAGTTCTGTGAAAGCTTGATAAATTCCAAGTAGACGCGTCATTCACTGTTATTAATTTTTTAATTGTTTAAAAGTCTGCCCCCTCGATATTTGATTCTTGCTCAAGTTTGCCCACCCCAGCCGATGTCTCCAGCTACGTGGCTGCGGTGTAATATGCGTTTTGGTACCCTATAAAAAAGTGTATCATTGGGGAACGCAATATGCTTTAAATCATGTGATTTCTTCGTAGTGCGATGTTATGACATGTTATGAGTACCAAATTGAACACAATGCTTTGCGAGTTTAAAATTTCACACTTGTCAATCAAGCAAACGTCGAAGTCGCCATTAATGTGTTGTACTTTTTTGCTTACTTAAAGAGTCATTGCTAACAATGAGCCTTTGCGAGGGTGGCAAATTATCCAGGCGACAATCCAAACAATGGCAGTAAACCTCTACGGATTAACCATAATTGATTTCAGACTGTCTGAAAATGCATTATGGGATGCTTGCGTAGCGCAATGGCTCATTGTTAGCAATGAGTCTTTAACAAGGGAAATTACAGCACCGCTCGCTTGTTATTATCTATAAGAAACAGTTTGATTGTTCTTTTACATTGTGAACAATATAAACCAGAACATTGTGTACCCGGACCGGTTTGCGGGCTAAATTCCACCATTTGATTCGGTTTCCTTTTTTTAAAGGCTTGGGTACATTTTTGTCTTAATAAACTGCCATGCGCTTGTTTTCCCGGACCGTTTTGCATGCTTAATTCCACCATTCGATTCGGTTCCCTGTTTTTTAAAGAATAGAATACATTTCTATCTTAACAAAGTTGTCATGCGTTCGAGTACCCGGACCGAAACGCACATGATACCGGTAATGCATTCCTTGCGCATGTCGAGTCCTTTAGCTTTATAAGTAAAGCTTTTTGTTTTGCTTTATAAGTATAACAAGAGAAAAATGTTTGTTGAAATCTAAGAACTAAAAAATCATATTAAAGAACCTACGTGTTTAAGTCAGATAATCCTAAATAAATGGACCTTATTCTAACTAACAAGGGGTCCCAAAATAGTTACTACAATCCTTGCCAAAAATAAGTGGAACGCCTTCCCATTGCAGCATGCAAATTACAAAGCAAGTCCAAAACTACCTTACCAAAATATCACTGCCGCTTCAAAAATTTCAGCCCCTCCCCCCGTAAAATGTTGGTTTATTTTCTCAATACCTTCATACAGCTTTCAGTGAATTTTTTACCTTCAGGATCAAAACAGCCCAATTGAACAACATTGTGATGGAGGGTAGGGGGGAATTTTTCAGAAAAAGCTTTGCGCAAGTGTTCCAACAATTTTGGCAAGGATTGTATGTGTATAGAGATTATCGTAAATTTAATATAAGAGAATATAAAAGGAGACTTAAGTAAAGTCTTAGTGATGTGAACAGCAACGATAGCGAATTTTCTGAGTTTAATGAAGATGTAGCCCTTCAACCGGCAATACATATTAAGTACCAAAAAATTTGGTGGCTTCATTTTCAGTGGAAGAAATTTTGGTCACATTTTTTAAATTCCGGTGTAAATTTTGGTGAAAGCTTTGAAATTTTCTGTGGACGGAAAATATTTCAGTTAGAAAAGAAAAGACGTATTTTCGGCAAGTTATTCAGCCTTCAGCATAAAGTTATCTGGAAGGCCATCATAAATGCCAAATAATAAATGAAGCTGAAATGTAGGCAAGAATGTCATGAAATTTCTTTCAATTAAAATTTCTAACCCATTTAGGAAAATTAAATGAAAGATTTTTCAATTCGCCATATTTTCGTTAGACAATGTCAACGGGGGGATTAAAAATTCTGATCGATTGTGAACTAAAATTCGAGGCGTCCAAATTGAAAGCACCGAAACGTTGTAAAGAAATCTTTCAGATAAATTATGAAGTGCTTATAGAAGCATCAGATCTGCCTATAGAGAAATCAAATTTCTTGAAGGTAGAGGGGAAAAGAGAAGAAAGGGAGGATGAGCTTGATGATCTTATTTGTTGATGACAGAAACTGAAAATTGATATATCCTGGACGTACAGTAATACTAAAACAATATCAAGAAAAATTGCTTTTGCTATTTTGAGTCCATTGGTGGAAAATGAGATTTTTCTAGCTTTTGAAAATTTCAATAAGCGAAATCCCGCATTTAAAAAATATTCGGTGGTATTAATTTTCGGTTGCCCTCCTTCACCAAAGATAAAGCCATCGAAATTTTTGGTACTTAAAGTATACTTTCAATAGCCTTAGCAATAGATACAATAAGAGCAGAAGCCAAGAGAACTAAGATGCATTTAAGAAACAATGCAATAAGCATGTAAACAAATTTTGCCAAGCCAATGTTTGACGAACAATCGAAAATTCTTCAAAGTCTCTTAGAAAATGAATTACTTGTTACTGATGACAGGACTCAGGTGCAGAAATGATTTGGGTCTATATTACATTTAGCGTACCAAACAGCCTTCATTTTGTAAATTTCAACTTTCTACGACCTGGTATTCTCTGTCTATGGTCCATCGTACAGTTAGGGATCTGGAGTTTATGTGACTTTCTAATAACTTACAAGGGAGACATGATATAGATATGAAATAAACTCATTGGCCATAATTTGTCACGATGAGCATAGTCAACAAGTTACCAATTCAAAAGAATAAAAAGAAGAATGGACATAGAAACTCTTTTAGACTGTAGACTGTAGTTTAGTTGTACATAGGAGTTTCATGCTTCAGATTGGAATTTCAAATATCATGCTTTAATCTAACTTTGTATAATTTTTTCGTTGTATCCCCAATAAGCTTTTGAAAGACAAATCAATCAAGATTTTGAATGATTTGATTGATTGATGATTGTGAGATTTTCCAGTTTTCACATGCAACCATGGCAACAGTTTTGTCATCATAGCAGGTCTTGCAGAAAAAAAGAAGCACCATTTTGTCTAAGAGCTGCACAAATCCCACCCCAACATTGCTGAGCCAATCAAATCAGGAGTACAGTTGGTCTGAAAACGTAAAATGTGAGTCATTGATTACATCTAAAGATGGCACTCGAGAGGAAATTTCGGAAATAGAAGTGAGTTCGGAAAAGAGAATGACTGCAAACGTTGGCAAAAAAAATTCTGGTTGCCTGTCCCTGAAGCAGTTCAAGACTTATTTCTCAGGGGGAGTTGATAATCCAGACAAAATTGAAACGTTCTAAAAGACTGCAAGCAAACGGCTGTATGAAATATTCTGAAATGTTTTTTAAGCTAATCTAAAATGCTTGCTCGCCAAAAGTTTCTGTATCTCTACAGAATGTTTTACAATTTCCTCTCCTTTTAGTGTTTATATAGAAAGGTCTTTGACGTTCTTGACATTCCCGATAAAACAGAAACTGAACTTCAATCCATAAAAAATCTGGATTCTAAAATTCTTGGCAGGAATTTTGCAGATTTTGCTCCAAGAAGACCGGGCTTAGTTTGAAACTTTTAAATACTGTATGTTTATCATTTTTAGATGTTTCCTTACAAACATTAGAAAATCAGTTTTTACACGTAGAGCTTCCTCGCCTTTACACAATTCAGAATATAAAGGCTAGAGGAATTGTGAAGGAATAGACAGTTTCCTATACAATGGGGTCAGCCCCCAAAAGTTACATATGATGATTACTGTGTTTAATTAGCCAACCATTACCACGTAAAAAGCCATAGCATTTCCAAATGCATTTACAAAATTGGGTGTTTTTCCAATTCTCAAGGGTGTGGTCAGCAAAATTTTCCTCTGAGTAAACCACCGGTCTACATTCTGTCGGACTCCTCCTTGCCTTTCTAATCTTCCAACCCTTGCGATATCACTGGGTAGAAGTAGAATAGGGGGGACAGGGGGCAACAAGAGAAAAATTATGATTCCAATTTATGTAAAAAAGGACCTGATTCAAAGTTTTGAGAACCTGATACATGTGAGCATTTACCATCAGGCCTAGATTTTAATTGCTTTTTTGGTCTAAAAGTAAATAAAAAGGTAAACATTTAACGATTTTTATGATTTAGATACTAATTTGGCATCACAGACGTAGTGCATGCAAGGAATATAAACTTTCTGGATTTTTTTGGCTGTAAATATTGTATTTCAAATTCAGTCCTCGAAATAGGAATTCGCATCTTTAAATTGATAGTTGTGATGGTGAGTCCACCTGCTCTAGAAAGAAACCCAAGTTTTTGAGAGGAAGTTCAGCAATAAAAGAGAATTGAGATTTCCAATTTAGTTTACAAGAAGATATAGAAAGGCCTAATTGTGATAAACAAGCAGAAATGTGCAAGTAACTACCATTTATCCCCCCATTTATGGAGACGGGAGGAAAGTTGGGTAATAGTGTTTGCATGAAATGACAACCTATAAGGTTTTAGTTTTATCAACGCAATTTGTTCGACAAGATATTCACGATATTAGTCAAATTAAATCTGCTTCAAACCAGCTGAATAAAAACATTTCTCCTTCAAATCTTAGGGCGCCATCTTACAACAACGTGAACAGGCACACTGATAGGTCACGTGGTATAAATGGTAACAACATATCGCATTTGCGGGTAAAGGAGAAACGATTATGGATCGCTTAGAGCCGTATTCTGCTCCATCATGGGCCTCACAGTTACGAATGTTGCCGAAAAGCCGACTTAAAGTGGGTAAAATGGAAATTTTTTTCATAATTTCTGCATAACGTGCTGAATTTTTCTATTTGCAGTCGATGGTCTTAAGATTTAGATGGCCTAGCGAACCCAGAAAATTTAATACAAGACTGTCGCAAGCCGGATTGAATTGTATTAAATTATAAAGATTCAAATAGCATCGTGTCGCCTTTCTAAACTGATATTTGCCAAGAGACAACCGAACGAAAAGAATCTCGTTGTTTTAATACACAAGACAGATGTATTTTTAGTGTATCCGTAACTTCGTTAAGGCCATGTGCAAAATTATATCCATACCATTGGAAGCACCGTGACTTGCATGGGCCTAGCATTTCGGACCTAATTTTCACACAAAAAATCAGACTTAAACCAGAAACCTTAGCATAGCCAATGTGAATCAATGCTTCGTCGTTTGGACTTGTTGTAAACAGATCCATTTCGCTTATGATAAGTAAGTGTGTGTTTGGGGGGGTCTTTACTAAACTATGGACAAAGAAATAAGACTAGGTTTTAATTTTGCTGTCCCTATTTGTTCTTTTTAGTGGAAACCTTATCAGCCAATTGAAAATCGTTTTTACAAAATGTATTCGTTTTTACAAAGCAAGCTTAGGTATTTTAATTCTATTTGAACGCCAAATCTTGTCTTCTCGATGTTTCCGTTTTCACGTGGACACTAGCATTCACAATTTGAAAATAAACAGTATTCGGGCATTCATTTTTATTAATGGCGTATTTATAATATACCTATATGTTTTTTATTACAAACAGATACCTATTTGACAATTTAGCCAACATAATATTAGAAAAAACATAGTATAACATAAAACGTACGAGCTATACACTTATTTTGAGAATACTGTTTATTAGAATATTCACCCTAAGAATCATCAATTTTCAAGCATATTAATGGAAGAAGTTTCGCGAATTTTTTAACAGAGAATCACCTGGCAGACAAATCTTGTTCAAAATGCGTGCTTTCTGCTTGCATTCCCCTGAAACCATATTTAAAATTCCTTATGATTGTCGAGGCTTGGCAAAATTTTGGTATTTTTACAAAATGAATATTATTTAACGGTAGATTTGCGAGTTGACTGAACCAAGTTAAAAATACATGCAAGATAAAAATACAACTCATGATTATTTTAGGTATCGGATAAACAATTGATAAATGTTTTTATAACAGATTTTTATAACATTTTATAACAATTTGTTGCAAGTAAATAAGTTTTGAATTTTGATAAAGGTAAGTAAAGTTGTTATTGTTTTGATATTTTTTCGAAAAGGTTTCTTTGTTATTCAGTATAACATATTTCACAATCTACGAGAACTATATTTCATTCTCCACTTTACCCCCAGAACAGAACGTATAAAAGACGTTGTTTTTCGGTTTTTTCTCGGCCAATTTGATATCTGACCTATTATTTCAAGTATAATTCGCATAGTCTAAACTTGCTAATAATTTTTCCTTTCTAAGGATCTTTTATTCTTGCAGGAAATTCTCCATTTAAAATTTGTTTTTCATAAACATTATGTACGCATTTTGATTGGCGGTAATAAAATGCGTATAAAACATTAACGAGCTCGTACATCTTTTACAAAAATCCCTTCGACTTAAAAACTTGACACAAAAAAAGCAGCAATGAAACGAGTACGATGGTATTTGCAGATAGAACCAAAGTGTAAAGGAAGGCTGTCTTCGTGTATGCTTTCCTTTTACCAATCTCCCTCTTTTTGAACAGGACACCCGGCAAGAGTGGATTCTTGCATATTCTTTTGTTATTGTGGCTAAAGGGGATTAAAGGCAATCTGTCACGACTTTGATTGATTATAAGAACAAAGGGATTTTTTGTTTTGTTTCCAGTCCACTTTTAATTTATCGCATTGTAAAAAATATGGCAGAGCGCTGGAATTGTGTTTAGGCTATTGTTCCAGCTATTGTTCTCGTCAACCAATCCACAACGAGACAGATTGCCTTGAAATAGATAGATAAGGCCAGGAAAATGAAAAGAAAAGCCATACACGATCAAGCCAAATGAAAAGTATTACTGTTACAATACACCGCGGTCAGTGCTTTGTCAGTAGTACGGGGGATGGTTCCGCAACAAGGTGGAAAAGAATTTTCTCTATTGTTTGTAAGCAGTGAATTAAACCATCTATTGTAGGGGGAAGGGACGTGCGAGCGAAAATTTCAAATGAGTGAGCAACTCTCCGTCCTGGAGTCCAGGAGCATGCGCAATATCAACTTCGCTTCATGCACGCGCGCTTCGATTCCAGGACGCAGAGCTGCGTCACTCATTAAACAACTTTCTCTTGCTCATCCCCCAGCAGTTTAGGAAGGTCTGGCCACCCGAAGAAAATAAATAACTTTTTGATTACCAGCCCCCCCCCCCAAACTAAGGAACAAAAATTTGCGCTCTGCAAAGAATTAGAAATGAATCTAGCATTTAAAAAGAAAGGGCTGCGAAAAGAAATCGCACCAATGAGCAAGGAACTTGATTTTGAATTTGAACCTATCCTTCAATTGTCAAACTTTGAAATGGTGATTTCTTTAAATTTGTTGACTTATATTTTATGATAAACTTTGAATGTATACGATCCAATTCCCCGTTATAAGCAATAACCCCACGCCCCCTTGAGTCATACATATTGATATTTTTCAAGGTCAAACGCTCTGACTTTGCATGCGCGTATAACTAGTGCATGCAGGTCTTGATTTACTATTGCTCTTCTCTTCAACAATTTTAAAACATTTTGAAAAATGATGCATCGACATAGCGTTAAAGTGATATCAATTTATTTGATTGGTCGTAAGTATTAAAAGAAAGTAAAAGCCTAGATCGCACCAAAAAGGAAATGATCTGGTCAATTTGCAGGAAAAAGTATTGACGATAGTGAGAAGTAGCGGTCACCGTTAGAGAGCGTCTACCACTGGCAGCTAACAACTGACCAGAACGAAATTTGGCATCTACTAGAATAAGGAAGAACCTATAAAAAATTTGTTTTGGCCGGATGCGCCACGGCTACAGGCCATTTTGAAATGGAGCGCAAAGTATTCAATCTATTCATATGACTATGAGTCCTATTTTTTATTGGTTAAGGTTTCAGTGTGAATTTGGCGACGTGGGACACACAACCAAAAGATTTCGGGATAGAATGAAACACCTGCCGTCTCTACCAACGTTAAAAGTATACCTCTCTCTCTAAGAAAACTGTGTCCTCAGCTCGCAGGTCAAAAATTAATAAATGGACTTCAAGAATTTCGGAACATAATGGCAAATATATTGAAAAAAGAGTAAAGGGACTGATATGCTTCCTTGAGGTGCTCCATGTGCTTTTTTTGGTGCCCGGGCAATGTTCCGCTTACGCAAACATTTTCGCAAATCCGCTACTGTTTGACAAATAATCCGCCAAGAATCTCTGGATCCAAAATCCGTAATCCATAATCCGCTTAATCCACGGATCCATAATCCATAATCCGCTAAATCCACGGATCCATAATCCACAATCCGCTAAATCCACGGATCCAAAATCCATAATCCGCTTAATCTACGGATCCATAATCCATAATCCGCGTAATCCACGGATCTGCATACCCCTACATCCCCCATGCACCTCTAGATCCTCTTAGGCCGCTCTGGCTGAGTAATGATCCTTTTATGCATTTTTCAAATATTTTATTGAAAGTTGGCAGCAAAGGTATATGATGATAATCTGGACCTTCTAATCTGGATTTAGCATTATTAATTAATAGGTATTACTTTTGAATATTTCAGTAGGGATGGGTGAATGCCTGAGCTTAAGTAATGATTAATTAAAACTACAAGAGTTTTGAATAAAGCGTATCTAATTATTTTTTTGGAATTTCGTACAGGTTTTGTGATTAAGAACCACTAAGCTCATAAATAGAACTTTTAAATCATCGCGATTAACATTAATGAAAAAATTTTCCTGAATCAGATAGCTTGAAAAGTCTTTGCAGTTTGCTTCAGCAGGAACTTTCTAATTTGCAACTATTTTTGAAAAATGATGGAATATATATTAGAAGGATGTTTATGATCAGGGGTAAATTATCCTTGAATTATATCTTGAGCACATTTTGTTTTATTTCGGCTTAGTAATGCATTACAATTTTATGAATCATCTACATTTTAATACTATTCTATTATTGAACAAGGTTTTGAACATTTAAATCATTATCTTTTTAGTAATCATAGGTATCTTCAAATTATTTGTAACTAATTAGATGCTGTAAGCGAAATTCAATTGAATTTAATTGAATTTAGTCAACCACTGTGCCAAATCGATTGTCATGTTCAAAATTAAATGATTCTCGGTAGAGGTCATGTGTTAGGCTGTAGCTCAAGAGGCCACTATGCTTCCAAAGGTCCGCAACCAAGCATTATTATAGGAAATTTGATCACTGCATAACAGCTTTTAAAATTCAGAAAGATAAACCGAGGCTGCGTTGAAAGGAGTCTGAGAGATGAACCATTTTGGGTCTTTCTAGGTATTCTGATTTTGTTTTCATTTTGTTACGAGTTATGCAGAGTTTGTTAGCTTTAAAGTTTCTATGGCACTATGAATTCTTGATAATGGTGTTTCGACGATTAATTACTGTACAGTTTTTCATTTATCACTGCACATTTTGGATCCTTCATCACAAAAATACGCTATCACGAGGCGTTGAAGTAAGGTCTGCCTGATGCTGTTAAATATTTCTCAGTCTTCCGTCAATATTCTGACATTTTATCCTCCGAAGAGTGGCACAAGAAGATAATGTTTCAAAATGCCATGATTTTTCACATGCCATGAAGCAGGTGACAAAATCTGATAGGACACCAATGTGACAAATCAACAGTTAATTATGGGTTTTGATACAATAGTAGTTGCATAAGATCAATCTGTAAAATTCAGGGAGAAAGAGGATTGATCTGAGGTGGCTGATCCTATAAATTGATTGATGCTAAGGTAACTGGACAAGTAGTCTGTAGCCTGTCTTTGAATTAGGGGCCATATATTTTTTACCAGAAAGACTCTTCTTAAAGCTCTGATAAAAAGTACATTTTTGCAACCTCTTTTCCCCTTGAAGGCTAAAAAACCTGGGCAATGAACCAAAGGAATTCCTGTGTTTTTCAATATGATGTCTATTATTTGTTTATTTTTCAATACTATCGCGCTCGATTATCTTCATAAATCCATTTCTCATAGCTTGTAATTGCAGTTAAAAAATACGAAGCAAGGTACTTTGTCTATGGTAAGATATCCAATTTTACGTATGAAAATGTTGCATCTATAACTGTTTTGTGCAATTGCAGCTTGCACAAAAGAATACTCCAATTCATCAATGGGCCCTACCAAACATTCCTGATGGCTTCAAAGTCTCCATAAAAAGAGATGACATGACTTGCAGTGTCCTTGGTGGTAACAAAGTAAGTGAAAATGTTTTTTTAAACTTGCAGCCATTTTCCTCTTGATCCTTAGAATGACCCCTTCTTTTAAATTCTTTTAAATCTTAAATAACACCCTGTTTGTTATTTTCACACATTGGTGTACATTTAGCCGGTGCGTCATTCTTTTTTCATTAAGCGCAGGTATTTAGTTCCTCAAAAAGCCCAGAATATGTATAGAGAACGAACCTCCAATCTCCCGCTGCCCCACCACCTACAACTACATGCTTGATAAGAGCTAGCCTGCTCGCAGACTCGACAATGGGGTGACTAGGGCGATGTCTAGCCATAAGAAATTGAGGTTGAATTTCTCTTGTGTTAGAAATCCGATAGCGAAAAACGGGAAATATTCAACTCAGTTCCTTATGAGTAAACACCGACATGGTCTCTGCGCAGTCGGGTCTGCGAGCAGGCGAAATAAGAAGGCATAACGAGGCCATTATGGTCAGAAATGCAGCAGTGTCTCATCAAGCTTGTAGCTCTAGATATGTTTTGAAACATCGTTGGGTAGGTTTATAATTGGAGGACGGACATACATCCGCCTAAACGCGTCTTTTTCGGCATTATCCGCAACCGCAGTAATTCTGTTTTATTTTAAAACCGTGTAGCCGTGAAACGTTATTAGATCTTCTTTTGGTGTTCCAAAAGAAAATGAATTTGGTTAACCAGCACATGCAGCAGCAATCAGTATTATCCTACCTTCAAAGGGCCCTTTTTATGATGCTTCAATGAGCCCTTCTTGCACATGATATCAAGTATTATGAGATTAAGTTTTTATTTATTCTATTTCTTTTGCAGATCAGAAAATTGGAATTTCTCTTAGCAGAGGCAGTAGCAAAAAACTATAACTCAGTAATTACTTGCGGGGGCATCCAGTCAAATCATTGTCGAGCCACTGCGCTGGCGGCCCGTCTCGTCGGCCTCAACAGCCATCTCATTTTAAAAACAACTGAGCCAGTAAGTGGCTTTTTTCTTTTCTTTCCATTTGTTTAGTGTCCGATAGTTCTTATGATACATAATAACATTAAAAATCGGGTGTATGGCATTCCATTCTCGTCAAAAGATCTGAAGTCTCAAAACTTATCCCCTCCCTAAAGAGGTCGAAATCTCCTGGTCTACACAACATCCCCCCAGAAACTGTGAAAGATGCGGCACATGTTATTATACAGTCCTCCTTCATATTTTAAACCTGTCTGTATCAACATCAACGGTTCCCTCAGAGTGGAAAGTCGCTTGATGTGTGGAGATGCAAAAGATTTTCAAGGGTGGAGATGCAAAAGAGCTTGACAATTATAGGCCTATTTCAGTTTTACCAGTCTTCTAAAAAATTCTTGAAAGGGTTTTCCATCACCAACTGTACGAATGTTTGGAAAAGAACAAACTTTTGTCTCTATACCAGTTTGGATTTAGAAAACATCACTCAACGCCGTCAGCAGTTGTTCACCTCGCTGACACTATCAGAAAACACGTGGACACGGCCCAACTCACAGAGGCGCTTTGTGTAGATCTCCGAAAGGCATTCGATAACGTAGATCACCAATCCTTGAACTCAAAGATATCCTATTATGGCATTGAAAATACTGAGTTAAAATGAATCAAATATTATCTCTAAAATCGGTCTCAAATCGTCAGCTTTGAGGGAGAAAAAGCAAGAGAAAAAAGATCTGGTTCTGCGTGCCACAGGGGTGAATTTTGGGTTCACTGCTTTTTCTGATTTATGTAAACGATCTCCATCAGCAGGTCGAGAAATCAAAGATCATAATGTATGCAGATGACACTGTATTTTTGTTTTCGGAAAAAAATGAAACATGAAATAGAAATAGAAAAGGCTATGAATCATGACGCTGAATTATTACATAATTGGCTGTGCAAAGATGGCTTGATATTCAATCCAAAACAAGCAACCAGCATAGATAACAATTGACTCGAAGGCCATCAGTAATACCGATACCTTGGAATCTATTTAGACAAGTCTCTCACTCTGAACGATCATATCCAAAAAATCTGTAAGAAAGCTTCAAGCAGGCTAGGTCTCCTGCGCCGAATTAGACCAATACTCGCCATCTATGCTGATGTGGAATCGTAAAAAGCCATGGTTCAGCCAGTTATGAATTACTGCAGCATCGTGTTCTCGACATTGTCAGAGATGAATGAATCGAAGTTAAAGAAGATTGGGAAGAGAGCACTTAAGATCGTTTTTAGGGAACAGCATAATAACCACCGTGCCTGGCGATCTTTCGCTTCAGTGAGATCAACTCAATGTGCAGATTTCGTTTTTAAATCGCGACCTTAAATGAAACTGCTCCTGATGTCTTCCTTAACTATTCTACGAAACTGAAACACGGAAAAGCAACAAGACGTAATGACATAGACCTGCGAATGTCAAAAGTCAAAACAGAAAGTTCAAAAAGAGGGATCTTCTTCAATGGAGTAAAAATATTCAATGCTCTGTCACTTAATATCAAAACAGAGAAAGAGAAATTCAAAAACGCTTTGGAGGAACATTTTAAGGGTTAAACTTGTACTAGAAAACCCAGATTATGCAAAAAACTATAATGGCGACATGTTTCGGATTATTGGTAAAGCCCGATCGTCGTTCCACCAAGCAGTTTTAGAATCTATCTACATAAGCACGAAAAAACCGCTACTGTGTAGACAAAAGGAGTTCGTTTTCATCTTAGGACTCCATTGGTAACATTCTCAATAGACAAGCGGCACTGATTGGTCAACCTCAACAGTCATGTGCTCGTGTTTCTGATTGGCATATTTCGATCCACAACTGGGTATATATGTTTCTTAGCGTAGAGTTTTCGATCTATGTTCTGACGTTTTAAACTCTGAAGTGTGTCAGACGAAAAGCTTTAGTTTACTAAATGTTTGCTTTTTTAAAAGCCATTTACAGGTTAAACTTGTATAATAATTGTATAACTTATATAGAATATTGTCTATTTTCAATGCCTTTTTATAAATCAATTGTGGCTTCGTTATTTAACTTTTCATAGTGCTTTTGCTGATTGAATTACCCTGTATAGATAATGTATTGTTTTTACTATTATTTGTTTTAACTATCAAGATAGGTTCTTTGCTGTCAGACATTTTTATCTATCGTAAAAGTTTTTGCAGATTTTAGATACAAAACAAGATCATTCAAAGATAAATTTCTTTGTGAATCGACTTATGCAACGGCCACAAGCGTGACATAACGCGTGTTTTTACAGGACACTGATGCACGCAACTGCTGTGGAAACGTCATGCTTGATCGACTGAGTGCTGCCGAGGTTTACTTAGTTCCAAATGAATCACTTACTAGAGGACTGGGCACTAGAGTTAAAAACCTTGCGTCAAGACTTTGGTATGTTTCCTTGATATTTTCATTTTCATTAAATATTCTCAAACATGGAAGAGTTCAGGACAGAGGGGCGTAATGATAGGGTAATTATTGCTAGCTGTACTAAACTAACTTCATTCAACTAACGTAGAAACGACTACAAAAGGGATAGCCACCTTTCTTAACTTTTTACATGCAAGGATCTGATTGATATGCTTGAGTTTCTAGCTCATGACCCTGTTTAGCTTTTAGGATATTGAAGAAACATTGTCAAACTAGCAGGAGAATGCCTACGTTTTTAAGTAGGACTGAAGGCATAAGAAAGAAAACTTTGATATAGATTTGGATCGATCAGAGTTGCTTAATGATCGCACTGAGCACGAAACTCGTAGTAGCAGCTAAGAAACGTCTTGTTCAATACGTCAAATAGCGTATACAGCCCTGCCTACACAGCATCGAGCACTTTATGACGACCGGTAAACAATAATTTCCATATACATGGATCGAGATATTTCATCATAGTAGGTGGATTTTAAAGTGAAGCCATGTAGCGGTATTTTTTAATATGGCAATGCCTTTGGCAATGGCAATGGTTGATCCATTAATATCACTATCGCCAGGCCGATGCAACCAAAATCATTCACAGCTCTAGGCAAGTTAACTTTGAAAGACAAGCCATCTTGTGATGATAAACAACGACTCTATTTATTTGCAGAGAGAACGCAAAGACAAAAGCTTTTCTCGGCATTGCACAAATAAATTTTAGGATCCAATTGATCTATGATTTCAGTTTTCCTATAAATTAAAGAGAACCATCAAGTAATTTGCTGAGAAGATAAAATTGAAAAGATCAGCTTTTAACTGAAATATAAAAAATAATGAATAAAGATCAAGTAACCAGACGTGATATGGCATGAAAGCGGGGGAATCAAAAGTTCCTCAAAATGTAACAAATATGGCAGGAAATTTCAAAAAGTTTGCTGAATATTCAGGACTTTTTTTTACAAGAATTTTTTCCAATTGTGGAACAAAGCCATTCGGAAACAGTAAAAGAAAACCAAAATAATCAATATTTTATTTTTAAGATTGATTAACATGCAAAAAATCACTTCTGGTCATGAACTTTTTGTTAATTGAGTCCAATTTATAGAAACATTTTTTTACAATGACGATAATACTACTATTGAGCAAAATTATACGGAAATAAAAATGAAAGGAACAAAGGGTTCATAGAGCTAGCTGATCGCCAAACAATGTCAAAGAAGAGGTTAGCATTCATCCAAGTACTGAAAATAAAAGGAATTTGCTCAGACAAACATAGATGAAATTTAACCCACAGCGACTGCATTCTTATATGTATTATCTTTCACGATAGGGAGGAAAGGAAAGAACGTGCTTACGAAATCCCTTATGGCGGGTCATCTTCTCTGGGAACATTTGCTTTTATCGATGTGTACCAAGAATTGATGGATCAGGTGACGTATGCACAAGAGAAATGTGTATTTTCTCGGTTGTAAAACACGATCGTTAAAGTGCTTCTTCAAAGAGCTCCTTAGTTTCTGTAACTGTTTTTGTGTTCGGTTTTTTGTTTTTATTTAAAAAACATTAGCTTTTCAAATTATTATATATGATTTTTTTTAACTGTTTTCAACCCGGGCTGCTCCCAGTAATTATGTGTCTCTTGCCCAAGGTTTTTTTTAATCAAATGAGGAGACGTTGCAGAAGAGGTTGTGGCAGCGCTTATCCTATCTCATATTTGAAAACTTAAATTTTTCTTTTAAAAATATTAAATTCATTATTCATACTTAGGATATGATAAAAATTTTGAATTGATTTTTCATTGCCATAGAATTGAAAAAAGTCATTTTACGATTCAGCGAGGTAGCTATTTTTACAGTCCCTAAAAATTAACTGCTTGTCTGCTAAAATATGGTCTAATCAAAAGGAGCAATGAGCAGCCTTTTTATGCTATTATTCTCTGTTATACCCTGGGTACCAGAACCTTACTGAAAGAAATGGTCTAACTTTGTTGGGACTTCAATTTATCAACCCACACTTTCACCTCCCTAGTGTTTTACCGAGGTCCTGGCAGATAGGTGTCATGGCACGTTTTCTCTGTTCCAGGGTATGTTAGAGAACTTCGATGATATATTTGTGGCTACTGGCAGTGGTGGTACAATTGGTGGTCTGGCCCTGGCAAATTATTTGAATGGATCGCCTTTAAAGTAAACATAATAGCTTTTGCATCTTTTCGGATAACGAAAGATTTTAGTGTAGTGGTGTTTCCTTGATCTGTGTTTTTGCAAGAATTTATAAGCTATGATAGATCTTACCCAAAAGACTCTTCTGAGCTATAAAATTAGTTGTTTGATCAAAGGAATGAAGGTTCAGGAAGCCATCTCCGATTATCAGCGAGCATGGACCACTTGACGTTCCATAATTAAAAGTGGAGCATGACTGCAGGATAATATCCGAATTTTATAGCAATACCGTACACCGAAGTATACAATGAAATTTGGACCTCGGTCTGTTTTTAAAAAAGAGTCTTGGAAATATAATAACGATGCACTATATTCAGAAGGGTATGATATTCTAAATATAAATAAACTTTTTCAAAATAAATTAAGCAAAGAATGTTTCACATGCGGCTTTGCAAAGTGCATCTGCAAGGGCCTAATGACGGCATCTGCAAAGTTTAAGCAAAGTGCGCGCGTAGAGTGCCAACATTCAATTGAATAATTGTTGTAAATACAAGAAAAGGGCTTAATGATGGTTGCATCACTCGTATAAAAGGAGCATTACTAGTTCCAGAAAAGGATGCTTTGCAAATACCCTTTATCGGGTTGATTGCTGTCTATATTATATTGAAAAGAACAAAGAACATTTCTATCAGTTCAGAAATTGGCTTTGCATAGGATAAAAACATCGCAGTAGGGTAAAGCCTTATAAGTAACTTTATACCAGAACAAACCATGGGTAGTCTGGTTTCTTGTACAACCAGTAGAAGATAAAATGTACTTTTATCTAGGGGTTGGATAAAAGTAAATGCTTCATACGTAATGTGATTATGGAAAGGAACATAAGCGTTGTAGCCTCACTTTTTGTGTAAAAAGTTCCGATGTGTATTTTTCCTTCATTATTGTTTAGGGTGCATGGTGTATGTGTTTGCGATACAGCAGACTATTTCTACGATCACATCGATGAACTGATTGGCGAATATGGTCTTCAAGACGTTAAAGCTAGAGACATCTGTGATGTAATTGACGGCTATAAGGGAGAGGGGTATGGCAAATCGACCCAGGAAGAGCTAGGTATGAATGTCTTACCAATTCAGTATAGTTTGTTCCCTTTTAATTTCTTGGAGTTGATCAGATCATTATGTGCAGCAGTGTTTTTAATGCAAAAATGGTGACTTCATAAGTATACAAAAATTGCAGAAACTATGATATAGGTAGTTATTACCACTGATACCACTACAATAATTAATGGGATGTATCAATATAATGTCTCTAGAACCACAGTAGATTCAATTCCTGCAAGGACCATTTCTAGCTGCCTATGTAGAAATGGTTGAAAGCGTGATATTTTATTTGCCAGGATTAGTAGTTCACTAGCATAGGTTCCAAATCTTTGATTGGCTGAGCGACCCAAATTCTCCATACTCCATTAGCCAATCAGAATTCAAGAATATGATCACAAACGTGCTTAGAAGCTAGATATAGGCCTATTTTGCACGTTTTTACCGCTACACACATAATACACAAAATAGTGAAAGATATAGCTCCTCTTCTACTTGCTTCGACTATCCTCACACGGGACACCAGTGTAAAATTCAATTCGAGGCTCTTCTGAGCTGTATCACAGAAAAGGAATTAGGCAGAAGGGGAACTCCTGCCTATCAGTTGAAGCCTGAAAAAACTTGCGCATGTGTTAACTTATACGAGGCTTAGCATGTATCCGTTGGGGAAATTTAAAAAAGAATGAAAGTAGACAACTTTATTTGAAACGAAATGCCCCATGATAGTGAACAAATTCAATTACGTATCATAATTCGTTTATATCTGATCAATGAATGATAATTTGTCATGGCCAAGTTTCGTCTAATGAAATCGAGGTTAAAGGGGAATTAAGGAATTCTATTGTTGACTGAGGCTTCAAAAACAACAAAGGAACCGATGAGAGTTACCTTTCTTCCTATTTCCTATTCTGTAGCTGTATTTCGTCTACAGTTACGCAGCGCGTGGGCTAGAAGGCACAGAAACCCGTAAATAAACGACAACAGTGATACGCTCAAAATCAACTTTGCAGCTAAGATTCGACTAGCAATTGTAAAATTGTGAATTCAACTATCGACAACCCTCCTTCTAGCAAAGGAACACAGCAACAAAACTTTAATACTATAAAACCACCAATTTTTCATTTTTTACACCAACTAAAATGATACCTACACAATAATACCTTGAAATACAATCACTGTGTAGTGATGTTAATGTCATGTGATATCTTCCTTTGAATTAAAACCTTGTTTTATAGCAATGCCGTCTGACATGAGCACGTAAAGCAATATATAGAAACCAATGTCTCAGGTGTGAGGCGTCATATCCCTTCACCTCATTGTGTTTGCAGCAAATCTTTGCTAAATCTTTAGAAAATCGTTGTTGGTCTGCCTGTCTGTCTTGCATTAGGAAAAGTAAAGAAAATGCTCTCAAGTGGCATGCTGGCAGAGGGACAAGGGAGGGAATTGACCGTCCCCCCTTGCTGATCAAATATCAGGGGCGCCAAAATGAATAATCATCTTAAAGGGGCTTCGAAGGTCCCCTAGCAAAATAGCTAGCAAGCAAGGACAGTTTACATGAAAGAACCCAACAATACTAAAGGCGGCCATTGTATAACAATCTACGAAAAGTTGCTTTGAAAGAACAAGAATAACCTTGCAACATATCACCTCTTCCTTCTTACTATCTTTGATGCGCTTAACAACGATCGTCAAACACCATCTCAAGATCCCAAGCTGAATCTAAACGATTTTTGCAGACATTAGATACCAGGCGCGTACCGAGGTAGGGGGTGAGAGGTGCCTTTGAGGACCGAACACTTGACGACTCCAAAATGTGTTTAGGCTTGTTTGCCTGCCAATGGATGAAACAGCTTGTTCCCTAATTTTCTTATTCTTTCAGAACTTCTCATTGAAATTGCCCAGATGACAGGGGTTGTCCTTGACCCTGTGTACACACTCAAAGCAACTCGAGCGATGCTTAAGGAAATGTCAGAGAACCCTTCAAGATTCAAAGGAAAGAGAGTTATTTTCATTCACACAGGTACAGATGCTTTTTAAGATGCATGCTAACAGCTGGTAAACGATTGTTCTTTACAAATTCTTCTTTTTCGGATGTGTCCCTTCCTTAGAGGTGCTCTCATTTCCATGAAAAATGCTTGTTGAAATGTTTAAGACACTAAAGCGAATTGTTAACATATGAAAATAAAGAAAATGCACCAACCACAAACACTACCGTACGTACCTTTGGTAATAACCTGTCTTTCTCAAACAAGTTTCCTTTTCACAATACTCCCTCTTTTTTATTTACCTTCAGCGACAAATTTTCTTTAAACAACTTTGTCTGATTTTGATAATTATTTTTATCAATCGATAGTCTGTCTACACGTTGCTAATTAGTATCTCCCTTTTAAGGTGGATATTTTGCCCTATACGACAATCGAATCAATGATTTATTGCTCAGTGGGGAAAAAACGCAGAATAAAGATTTCAAGATTTGGGCTGATGCAGCAGCTGATCCTCTGAGCTGGTAAGTTGATTAATTACGTGGAGCATAGAAAATTAAGTGTACTTCGAAATAATTTCAAATATTTAGACAGTGGAAAGTGGAAAGCGATTAACGGTTTTACTTCTTTATGTTAGGAGGCAGATACGCTTGACAGGCTGTCCGCCATATTCTGTGATTCTGGCAATGAGTTTAGATGAAAGGAAATAAGCAGGAACAAAGCAAAATGGCGACAAAAATCCAATAAGTTGAAAAATCGAATTTTGAAATAAGTTAAATATATTACCCTTTCTTTTTTCGTCTGAATCTTTTGTCTGAAACTGAATACAGAACACAAGGTTATAAGAAGCTCAAGGGTACTTTTTATCCAAGGGAGCAAAAAAACAATTCAAGATCGCTAGTGCCTATAAAGAACACTGTCGCTTTATCTTGTGATCAATTTATTGTTTTTTATTGTTTTTCAAGTAGATGTTAAGCTACCAATAAATCTTAACTTTGTGTAAACCGAAAATGTTTTATTTCTAGATGACATCTATAACGACAAATGAAATTCTGATGTTGCCTTTCCTGTTAGAATTGACGATCTGATAAAAGACAAATGGAACCATCGTTACCAACTTTTATTATTGTACTTTATTACCAATTCGACTTTGATAGAAGGCGTATATTTGTCATTAGTTTGCTATCTACTCGAAGTACAAAAAATGTTTGCTCGTAGTTAACTTGAAATTCAGATATGGGTTGCTGCCTATTTCCTTCCTCCCAGCGCTTTGGACCAACGTCTGTTTGTTGTTGGCAGCGTGATTTCGAACGTGAGCTAGTTATTAAAGAAGCGACAGTTTAAAGGCAAACCATTCCCAGGTGAGAATAAAAGTTTAAAAAATGGTCTATCTTTGAAAATTAAATCCAGTTTTTCATTGTATCAGTACAAAACCCTATTTTATTGGCAGGAGAAGAACCCTTTTGTTTGTTATTGCCCAAAACTAGTATGAGATTCTCGAAGCCCTGTGCTTGGTCCTCTCTCACTTTAGGTCCCTTGCAAAAGTTGTTGTGGTAACATCGCAACGAACTTATAATTAGAAATATCTCATTCCAGGAGAAAATACAATTTGAATTGTGTGAGCCTAATTGGAAGATGCCGGTAATGGATACATGAGTATAAAACAGGGCCTCCGACGAAGGGGGTCCTGGGGCCATGGCACCTCTATTTTTTTGCAAAATAGTAGAGTTTTTTTCAAGGTATTTTGTTATGGTTGCTAAATCCCGCCCCCATCCAAATTTCCAACTTTTCTCGAAGCCCATGTAATAGGTGGATCCAGGAAAATATCTAAACTGTACTTGGTGAGAGAATGGGCAAGGAAAGGCATGTACGTAGCTAGGGGGTGGGGTTCTCGGTGAAAAGCAAGAAATATTTTTCAAGAATCTAAGTTGATATAGAATCAGCTCTAGGAACGCTCTAATGTTATCATTATCAGGTACCATCTTCTATCAGAAGGTTGGTACCTTGACCCTCCAACTATCCCAAAATCTGAGTTTTGGTTTGTTGTCATGGTCATGGATAAAACCTCGTTGGTCATAGATAACATGGTCTAAAGTTATAAAAAGTGATAAACAAGTTCATCCTTATTATGAAAATAGCCTTTATATTTTTAAATGGTTTGAGACTTCACAGGAAGCAGTTTGGCCACATTGTATAATTGCCAACAGTCATATCTTAGGAACGCCGTTTTCTCGGAAAATCTGATCTTTATCTGCACCCTCCAAGAATTTTAAGAGCCTCACCTTAAGGATGATCATTGCAGAATGGTCCTGGCTTGGGTGATTTTACATCTACATAATCAACTTGAATTATGTTCCATATATAGTTAAATCGTCTTTGCTATTTTGAAGGATTTTTCTAAAGAGCAATCAAAATTCTCCTTTTACCCCTGAATGCCTGGAACATTGTAGGGCCTTATCAAAAGAACGAACACAATCCAAAAGTACCGTTAAATATATCAACGAGGCTTTTTGGTGAAAGTAGTGCCAAACGTAATCCCTATTGTGTTTCAACAATATAGACCAGGCGGAGAAAGGGGGTATCGGCCCCCAAAGGCGAAATTTATGGCATAGAGTGGATTTGGTCAAACTTGGGGCGCTGATTCTGAAAATCGATGTTATACGGGCAAATTCGGGGGCTTTCAGTCTCATTTCGATGCTGAAAGTTTTTGACCAATTAGATACTTCTGCATTTTGATAGTGTTAGAACATTATAATTGCTATTAGAACAAAATAAACGTGTCTAGGGATGTTGAAAAATCGTGTCTAGGGATGCAAAACATATCTTTATAGCTTTTTCAACAGTAATTGTCTTTTCCTAACATCATTTGACCCCCCTGTCAGGCCATATTTGGAGTACCCCCAACATCCCCCCCCCCCCCAAAAAAATCCCAATATTTAGCTTTTTATAGAGCCTAGAATATAGGAGCTTCAAGAGTGCGGAAAAAATCCGGAAAAAGAAAAGGAAAAGAGTTCCTCATCATTTATCATTTCAGAATCATTATAGTCTGAATTTTCAGGTTCTCGTTGGGTAATTGGCTAATTGGCGCCAACATTTCATAGAAAGGAGGCTCATTGCAAATGGTTTGTTGTTCAAGACGGACATCCGACATCCAGTCGGTCAATCGGAAAAGTGTTTGAAATGAATCGCCTGGAACCGTATTTAATTCCATCATGGGCCTCTAAGCTATGGAAGTTGCCGAAAAATAGAATAAATGTGTGTATATCGCAACCTTTTTTCATATTTCAAAGTTGCAAATGTATTTGAATATGCTTATTTCGCACACGGTGTATTGACTAAGCATAGTGCCGTGGTACAGCAGGCAGCCAGTTTGTACTATTTCTCTACATTTTCGAAATTATATTGTACTATATTTTATTGCATACTGAGCTACGCACACCAAATAAAAGTTATATTTGTAATTATATGTGATTATGGTAATTTTAAATGTCTCCAGTCCTGGCTGATATTGTGTCTGTATTGAACACAATTTCAGTTCTCTGGAACCTGACACTTTACAGTGAATAAATTGAACACAGTGGTCGACATTTTACTGTTTAACAGGGGGGATGTGAGGCAATAATTTTCATGACCACAGCCTTTGCATGCTTGGAAAATGTGCACAATGCCCTTTTAGATGATTTTATGTTTGCTATTTATGAGTGCCAAGAAAACAAGTCAAAGAATACTCATTTGCATTACTTAAAGGGTCCCCCCAAATTTGCTACAGATTAAAAGCAACTTTATTTGTTCACACAAGCATGCCACTTTACTCTGGTGATCTCATGAAAAAGTGCCATAGTTTGCAGACCAGGCTGGCAGAATGTGTTTTAGCATGTTCCCTCCTCCTCCATCTCATTCCAGGTTGACAAATGTCTCAATTTTTGTCAGGATTTCAGACACTGAATGAGCCTCAAAGGACTAGTTGTTAGCAATATTATCCATTCTCAAATTTTCAAGATTCATTTCTTCTTTTTCTTTATAGCTCAGTCCTTTTCGTGAGCAAAATTACGCATGTGTGGCAAATCGCACATGTAAACAAATTTGCGTGTGCGATCGCACTTGTAAGAAAATTTGATGTACAAACCTGATAAAATTGGTAAAAGGAGCAAGAAGGGAAAGGCCACTCGAATACGTGCAAGAGCAAAACTCAAAATTAATCAATACATAACAGATGTTGTTGCCCTTAGCAGCCATCTTTTAAAAGTCGTCGTCACTCTCCAAAGTTACAAGAGCAAGTAAAAATTGTTTCCAACAGCTACTTGCTTTCAGGGCCTAATTACGTTTTGACAGGAAATCAGTTATTACACTTAACATGCTAATGGCGACTTAGCTGAAAGACGAGACGCTAAGTTGAATGGAGCACTCAGTCAAAAGCCAAACATCACTTCCGAAAATTGGAAAAATCATATTGTGGTCAAAAGTGCGAATCAAGTAACAAGGGAAAGGATAAACAATCATGAGACCATGGGAAATTGATGTTAAAGGGCCTCTCCAACAAAAAAAAAATTTTTTTTAATGACTTAAAAGTTAGCATCTGGTGCGTGTATGATGACAAAGTCATTGTTTTTGAAAAATTCCAATTAGTTTAGAAGTTGTAAGGCTTTACAGTTGCACCTTTCCGAGAATAAAAACGACAAAAGCCGAATCAGTTTGGTGACATTCTGACGTCACAATGTGCGGCTCTCGTTCGCCATGAATTTCGTATATCTTCCACCGAAGCGTGAAGGACTCATGGTCACGCGTTGATAACTGCATCCAGTTCCAGTTCCAGCTCTTCCCTCGCGTATAATTAATCGAAATTGTCACTTCAGTTGTTCTCCAGAAACGATGAACAACTAAAGGCTTCAGAATTGGTGTCTGAAATGCTCAAACTAAAAGCTGGTGGAACAGAACTGAGAGTACCATCACTTGCAGTGTTCAATTTGCGAATCGCCGTCGTTCGATTCGGTTTGAGGCGAGACTATCCGAAATACACTGTGACGTCGAAATTGCGTCACAGTGTCACCAAACCAAAAATTTTTGTCGGTTAATTCAATTAAATTATCGAAATGCAAGAGCTTATATCTCACAAACTGTAAAAAAATATCGAAAAACAATAACAAATCCGTGATCAGCAAGCTCAACTTCTTTATAAAAATTGCCAATAAAATGCAAGTGCAAAATTTGGCTGGAGAGGCCCTTTAACAGAAAACTGCAAAAACACCTGTTTACTTGCGCGTGTGCAGGCGTGTGCGGGTGCGATCGCACGCGCTAAACGAAAAGGACTGCAGCTGTATCATTTTGAGGCCCTTGAAAGCGATTTCTCATCTTCAGCAACTTTGCGAATGTATTCAGTTGACGTTTTTCAAATTTTCTGTTTTCAGAGAGGTCACAAATTTTTCCTAGTTTTTTTTTGTTTTTCAAACTCTTGATGGGGAATGTTGGGCTTTTCTCCAATGTCTTTTTGACATCACTTTGTAAAGTTGTAACCATGATTGTCCTAGGTCAACTACAAAGGAGGTTGTCAGTTATGCTTTCAAAATAGAAGTCTGTGGCGTTGTTTGCCGGACAGTTTCGATCTTAGCAGAGAATGTTACCAAACAACCTCCACCGAGATTTCAAAATAAACAATGATATTGGGTAAGACTTGCATCTTTTGAATAAGTGAACATTAGATATCTGATGTGTATAACTCTTCCCAATTAGATGGCAAAGTTATATTCCATGGAAGGAGTCAAACATTTCTTCACCTTTCTTGTTGAGTCCCCAAGTTGCAGAGTTGTAGGTTAGAACAGTTAGTGTGATTGTCTTGTATAAATTTAGCCTCCTCTTCTCACTTCTATGGTCCCTTCTTATCCATAATTCAAGGTTATTCATACTGGCAATAGAGTACTGAAGTGTGACGTCATCAGAAATCTGTTTTTTAGAATTTCCCAATTTTATTCACATAATGTGAAAGAACAAGATGAAATACCACTCATTAGGCAAGATAAGCAAAATATGTTCAAAACTGGGGAAGATTCGACCAATGAAAGATTTTAAGTTTGCTAACGGACCAAATAAGTTGAACCAATAACAAATTACAGAGGTTTGATGGGACAAGCCCCTGTACTGATATGGCCATATCTTAGCCAGTTTGTATCACCTCTAACTGATTTTGCATATTTGGATGTATTGTGTAATGCTCTCTCAATTTATGGGATCAAAATTTTTCAAAAATTCTAAAAATAGATTTTTGTTACGTCATAACTTTGCTACTCTATAGCAAGTTGTTCTCTTCTCATTACATCCACTATACCACCTAACAAGGAACCCACTTTCTTGACACTTCTCCATGATTCTTGATCTTTTTTATTTTCAATATTGTGTATGTTTTTTCTTTGTTGACTTTAAGATTTCTGGTAGAAAAAACTGCTTTTACCATTTCCATTTTTCTTTTCTTTTTGATGTTGTTTGTAGAGAAGAAGTCTGTGTCATCAGGGTAGATGATTTTGTCAGGAAGAAATGACTATTCCTGCTTGGATTATGAATTTTCTATTGCCTAATTCATTTCATATCTCATTTTTCTAAGAGTATCTTCTAGGTACTAGATATTAAAGAAAATACCTCGAATACCATCTCCCTGTGGTGTCCCTTTGTTACTTTCAAATTTCATTGTACCTACTCCATTCATCTTTATGTCCAAGGTGGTGTTGCTCAATAGCAGTCTTGCCATTCTTACCTTGTCACTGTTTGGAATAGCAGTTAGGATTTTCATCCAGATCTTTGGTCTTCTTTTACTATCCTGTCAAAGAGGGGGTGATATATCAACTCTGGTTATGTGTATTTCACACTCTTCTTTTTTGGACTTTAGCAGTTACCTGCTGATGTGCCCAAACAATATCACTTGTGCTTTGGCTGGTTCAATGGCCTTCTATGATTTAAAAATATACTCTTAGTAGTTTGGTTTAATACGTTTAAGTAAGATTTTTGATAATTTTTTGTATGATTAGGAGGAGATTTACTAGTCTCAAGTTCTTGACTGGTCCTTTAGGCTTGCCTGGTTTTTGAAGCAACACTAAAATCCCACTGCCAAGGTCTAAAGATTTGATTAAAATATCCAGTTCTTCTGGTGCATATTTCACAAGCTCCGCTGTTATTCTATCAGGTCCTGCTGCTCTATCATTATTCAGTTTGATAATTGCATGTCTAATTTCATTGTTGTTATTGGGTTGGCAAGTTTCTTTTTCTCTTCTACAAAGGCCGATACTTTTTCTACACTCAAGCACGCATGCCTAGAGTGCACACAAAAAAGCCTTGGAGAGCAATTTATAGAGCCCTTCAAAATATAAAAAACAATATTACCATGGAGCAAAATAAATTTTTGGAATTTATTGAATAAACTTGATCAAGCATAAACAATCTTCCCAACAGACCGCAATATTATGATTTGCGTAAGAATTTGCGAAAAATTAAGCAAATTCAAGATTGGGTTTTCAATACCAACCAAGGACACAGGCCATCAAGTGTATTCTCCGGCAGATTTATGATTTTCGAGCAAGCATTAATATTCTGTTGAAATCACCTGTGCAAATCAGCGATCAGATTTCCGCCTAAATTATCGCATTGCTTTTCAGTTTTCATTTGCTTTCGTGAGTAGTAGATGTTCTAGCTTGTCTTGTAGAATGGATAGCATAAAAAGGGAAACAAAGTTAAAGGTTCGATTTAAAGCCATGCGTTTTGATGAAATAATATGTAAAGCTGAACATAACAGTAGTGATATTGACATTAATAAAAGCTTATGAGTGATCGCAACTTACATATCTAGAAAAATCTCATCAGTTTTGAGACTTTGTTTCATTATATTTCTATATTTATTTTTACATAGTGTTTGTTGCATGTTAATTCATATTATGGTGTCTTTTGATATCACTGTTGAATTTCTTATTTAAAACTCTTCTGAAGCTTTTGATATAAAGCTCACGATTTTTCAAAGCTTTCGAAGGATGCTCTAAAGGACATTCTATTTAGAGGTGCAAAATAGAGCACCTAGAGTTTCTAAAGGGGTCTTGTTATGGAGCACCTTCAATATTGCTTAGAGCTGAATGACCTGACTCTTGTCAAAGAAATATTGCTTGAAGTGAGTCTCAGCTGTTTTATATATCTCCCAAGGATTCAAAATACATTTTTCTTCTTTGTCATATATAAATGAATTTTCATAATTCTTTTGGTTCAATCTTTTCGCTGCTTTGACATTTTGGTTCATCATGCAAGTTCTCAATATCTTTCACTTTTTCATCAATCTCTTAACCTCTATTTTCAACCTCACCTTATGTTTGATGCTTTTCAATATTCTATTCTTTTGGTGTTTCAATTTTTCATTTGCCAAGATTCAATTACCAAGTAATATTTTCTAGCCCAGTGATAGATTCTGCCAGTATGACAAAGTTTGCAAAAAGGTATCCTGTACACCCTCTTCCACCCTCTCCCATACTGGAATTGAATCATGTTACACCAGCTTCATGCATAAAGATTTGCCAAAAGCAATTAAAATGTTGGTGAATGTAGAATCTTTACCAAAATTTCTGAGCAAATTTCCTTTGCATTATTTGCTGCTAATGCACACAAAATTTAAACTCCAAACCAGTTTAACAGTTTGGCCAGCCTCCAGTCAGTTCTACACCTTGCACATAGCTCAGTTGGAGTTGAAGGTTAAGGTTAAGGTTTTTCTACAAATTATGACAAAATATCAAAATTTCCAAAATTAACACATTGTGCAGATTGTGCAAAACTCTATAATGACGACATGTTTCGGATAATTGGCAGAGCCCGGTCGTCCTTCCATCTAGCAGTTTTGGAGTGGATCTACATAAAAACGAAAAAGCCGCCATTGTGTAGACAGAAGGAGTTCGTTTTCTCTCTCGGACTCCATTGGTAATTTTTCTTTAGGCTCGCGGCACTGATTGGTCAACCATACCCGTCTTGTGCTTGTGTTTTTCTGATTGGCCTATTTCGATCCACAACTGGGTATATATTTTCCATCGTGTTCTTTCGGAACCTTATTCTGACGTCTTATGCTCTGAGGAGTGTCAGAGGAAAAAGCTTTTAGTATGTCATAAAATGTTTGCTTTTTTCAAAGCCATTTTAAAATTAACACAACATGCCCTTCTGTCTACATGTGGATGTGTAAATTCCTCATATATCAGGGGATTGTACTGCCCTGGTGATTAGCCACTTCCTAAGATCTTGAACCACAACATACATACTTTCAAACATATTATGTTTTTTTCTGTGTCAAACAGAATGATCCTAAGTTGCAACTTCAAGTTTCATCTGTGTCCTATATCATCAAATGACTGTGTTGAAATATAATTTGACATTTATCTTGATTTTGAAACAAAGCTAGCTCAAATGCATATTTTGATTCTATCTAGTTTTCACATTTTTGTGCATTTGCAGCTTGCTATGAAAGACACTCCAATCCATCAATGGCTTTTACCATACATTCCTGAAGGCTTCAAAGTCTCCATCAAAAGAGATGACATGACAGGCAGTGTCCTAGGTGGTAACAAGGTAATTTGAATCATTTGATTTATATTTTCTTATCCACATATAGGCTCGTATATTCTTATTATATTATTGAATTTTCTCAACTTCCTTCATTCTTACTATTGTCATATAATGATCATTTTAAGAGAGGTAGAGCCCAATATTAAAAAGGAATGAATTTTTTGTGTTTGCTATTTTTTATATTTTTAAACATAAATTGACTGCAGAATGTCCATCAACTATTTTTTATCAATTATTATCTTGGTCTTGTCAAATGGTGAGCGCATATTGATCTGAATGTATTGTAGTTATTCTGCTGTATTCTCAGCTTTTGATTTTTTTGGCTAGTTTGGCTTTCTTTGATTTATCTTAGGTATCAAATGGTTGTAACCCTCTTTAAGACATATTGCTTGAGATGATTGTAACTTGAAAGATTCACCTTTGATTATGATATTTGTATAAGCCACTGTTCAATTAGGCTATGATAAAGCTTTGTGTGTCTTTAAATCTTTGGCAAGTTTAAGCATAATTTAGTGTAAGTTAAATCAGAACCAAATTTTTAAAAGTTTTTTTCCAAACATTCAAAAAAGTGCAGAGTGATACTGTTGCGCTACTCAAATGTGAAGCATTGCGTTGCAGAGCTACTCGAATGAAGCTCTGCATAGCTATCTCTTGCATTTATCCTTACAGAATGTACTGGCATTTGAGAATCTTGTAACTTTTGATATGTTTTGAAACAATGTTTTAATTTTAACTAGCACAAACTAAAATAACCCTGCAACAGCAACCAGTCTTATCCAAGTTAAAACGAGATGTTGAAATCTCTTTTGCACAACATGTCAAATAAGTTGAAATTATTTCGCCCTTTGATTTTTTTGTTTTTGCAACTTATTTTGCAGATTAGAAAATTGGAATTTCTGTTAGCAGATGCGGTTGCAAATAACTATGACTCAGTCATTACTTGCGGAGGCATCCAATCCAATCACTGCCGAGCAACTGCGCTGGCTGCCCGTCTCGTCGGTCTCAACAGCCATCTCATATTAAGAACAACTGAGCCAGTAGGTGTACTTCATTGAACAGCAAACCTCATTGTTCAGTTTTTTAACCTCCACCTCGATCTATTTTCTGTTGTATCTTACTTGTTTGTTTAATGTTGTTATAAATTCTTAAAAGTGAGACATCATGAAACCATAGTAGCTTTGTTTCCTTTCCCAATGGGACTAATACAGACCTAGCAACTGCCCCATCATTTATTGTTGTGTTCCATTTTGCAGGATACAGATGCATACAATTGCAGTGGGAATGTATTGCTTGATCGATTGAGTGCAGCAGAAATGTACTTAGTTCCAAAGGAATCACTCAGCGAAGGGCTGGGAGCTAGAGTTAGAGTCCTGATGTCAAGGCTTTGGTAAGTACCCATTAGCCATTAAATTGGATCCATTTAGATGAGGTGTATAAGGATGAAGCAAGAAGATACTCATTTCACCATCCAAACAAAAAATTTCAATTTCACTTGAAGAGCAAGTAAGACCCTGTTTACACGAGAGAAAAAGGAACGGTTCCAAATGGATAGTTGCGTTTACACGAGAACTGTTGGAACCGTTCCATTTGGGACCTACTATCCCTTCTCTTTTGGCTCCGCTACAGAAGTAGTTCCATTTGGAACCGTTCCGTTTCCTCTCGTGTAAACAAGGTATAAAAATGCATGCGCAATCTATACCAGTATTATGAGTTAGATACCTTTTCTGGCAACCAAGGAGTTTAATGCTTTGCTTCTGTTAAGTTTGAGATTTTAGAAAAAATTCGTTAAAATAAGAATCTACAAAAATCTTAAAGTTTTTGATGTAATTGTTAGAAAATAGTTGAAGGAATTCGCAATAACGTTTTTTCAGCGAAGATAGGAATTCTTTAGATAACATATGCTGAATTTTTTGTGCTTAGCTCAGAATAATTTAATGAACTTTTCTTCATTAGGGAGGAGAAAAAGGAACGCGCTTACGAAATCCCCCTTGGTGGGTCATCGCTTTTAGGAACGTTTGGAATTCTTGACGTATACCAAGAAATGATGGACCAGGTGACATTTTAATAGCGATATTCATGTTTGCTGCAAATTGTAAAAGGGAAGAAATGTCTTCAATTTGTAAAAATGTCTTCATAATGAGAGGGGCCTGGCCAAGACAGTGCAAATAATGGTTCCTTTGAGTCGATTGTGCGCAGCATAATCTATTGATTTTGGTTTAAAGTTAAAAACTGTTTTTCGTTCGGTGGATGCTAGAGCTAAATGGGATGCTGTAATTATTAACTTGTCAATTTGTCCACTTTCTTAACAGTAAGCTGGTTCAGTTTTGTGTGGCGTGTAAAAACTACCAGGAAAGATTTAAACAATCATTTCTAACCTCAACTTTGTCAGCAACATCACAATCCATGTGCGGCTGAATGACCAGTATCAAATTTGCCCTAAGATCCTTTTTCTTTCAGCAGAAAAGGTTTCTATTATAAACAGTGGCCAGGATTGGCGGAGAACGATGAGGGGAACCCAGTTTGAATCTTTTTTTCAAAACCGATATTTAAAGATAAAGTAAAAGTTTGCATATATTCCCCTCTGGCTTACCGGCGGGCTGCATCCGACATCTTATTCATAGAACCCAGCTGACGCGGTCTCATCCATCGTCTCTTTCTTCTGTCATTCAAAAGTTTTCATTGTTTGGCTTTTTACCTTAGGTTTAAAACAGTCTATCTGTTACCGACAGTCCCTTAAATAAGAGCTAGTTTTCTCAAAAGAAAGGTTTAATCATACGATATAATGAAAGCCTTGTTATGTTATTTTGATTCGTTATCGCACAATTTATCTGTTGCAGGGCATGTTAGAGAACTTCGATGATATATTTGTGGCTTCTGGCAGTGGTGGTACAATTGGTGGCCTGGCCCTAGCAAATTATTTGAATGGATCGCCTTTAAAGTAAGCATTATAAAAGCGTAGATGAGTTTTTTACTGAGAGATTTAAACTAAATATTATGCCATTTTGCCAATGTAGACTTGCTAGCATTTTAAGTAAGCCAAGGTCTTGCGGTATGCGATCTGTTATCTTTCCGAAAATATTGCATCAAAGATCTCAATAAATACTTTTTTCATTAAATTCATATATTTTACACGATATCCCATCAGAAATTCAAGTATAAGTTATGATAAAGTAAACTGCTAATAATGCAAGACAAAAATTTTAATATTATTTTAATACCATCAATGAATTCGTGTTTTTTCGGGCTTACTCAGCGCTTCAAATGTGTTTTTAATTTTCGTTTGAATTGAAGCCCAGAGAAGTGGAATCCTTTTTTGTGACTCTCGAGTTAAAACTTTGGTTTGTCGAGATTTCTATTGTTTTCTGTGTTATAACTAGGAATTTCTTTCTTCTGATTATACTTGTTCCAGAGGCTCTCAGAGCACTGCTTGTAACAACAAATAATGACCTTAATGATTTTTTTCGTTAAGGGTGCATGGTGTATGTGTTTGCGATACAGCAGACTATTTCTACGATCACATCGATGAACTGATTGGCGAATATGGTCTTCAAGACGTTAAAGCTAGAGACATCTGTGACGTAATTGACGGCTATAAGGGAGAGGGGTATGGCAAATCGACCCAGGAAGAGCTAGGTGCGAACATGTTGTCAATTCAGTATTGTCCCAATTCTATTTTTGTGGAAATTGAGCAGATCATTATGTGCAACAGTATTCTTGCTGAGTGCTGCATATACAGTTTGACTAAATCAATATTCAAGGGAGCAAGATTTGAGTTGGATGATTATTGCCATCGTTGCCATTGTTATATCGTATTGGACAGGACAGTGTCAGGTGGCTGTCACTAGAACTATGGCTAGAGCTAACAGCCTCTTTATAAGACCACCACTTTTGATACGGGATAGCATGTGTTTACACCCCGTTCATATGAAAATGGAGTAAAAACTAATCCGTTTCTTGCCTTGCGTTCACACTGCTCTGCCATGAAAATGGAGACATTTGAAGACGCAAACGAATAAGGATATTTGTAAATACGGTGTGTATTGAATACGCTCCTTTTTCAGTGTGAACACCAAACATTGAGACATTTGAATACTCTAACAACGCAAAAACTTATATGCTTTCTAGCCAGCCAATTTTCAAACATTTCAAATGTGAAATTTGCAATGAACTGCGCTATTACAGACAAGATATTCACATAAGAATCTTTGTACAGTTTGATGGCCATTGTCACCGTTTTAAATTGAGGTCTGTGTTTAAAAATAAGGCTACCAAGAGCGTGTTTGTTAGAGCACTGCGGCACTCGCCGTATTCATATCGTATTCACCAGCAAACGGATCAGTGTGAACGGACATCAATTTCACCCACGAAAACGGGGAAAAGCGAATATGGAGCAGTGTTAACGTAGCCGATGTTTTCTACCAGAAAATTGACAAGTTCTTCAAAGGAAAGAAAATTCAACATCCCTTATTCTTTTAGCATCTTTCTTTCTGTTATTTGAATCTGGTCTTTTTGTTTGATTTCCAAGTGCAAATTGATTTGACTGAAGTTGTTTTATTTCAAGGTTATTGATTTTATTTCATAATTGAATGAATTAGTACTCTTGATCTTAAAAACGGAGTGAATGAGTATTCCAAAACTAAAAAGAAAAGTTCCGAACATTTGACGACTCCAAGATGTGTTTAGGCTTGTTTGCCTGCCAATGGATGAAACAGCTTGTTACCTAGTTTTCTTCTTCTTTCAGAACTTCTCATTGAAATTGCCCAGATGACAGGGGTTGTCCTTGACCCTGTGTACACACTCAAAGCAACTCGAGCGATGCTTAAGGAGATGTCAGAGAACCCTTCAAGATTCAAAGGAAAGAGAGTTCTTTTCATTCACACAGGTACAGATGCTTTTTAAGATGCATGCTTAAAGTAAATTTTCAACATTTCCTAACAAGCTGACTCTCATCAGGTGTGCTTCTTTTCAAATATTGCCCGCTGATCAATGTTTCATTACTGAAATATCCCCTTCTCGAAAGCTCCCCTATTAGAAATGCAACCCCATTTCGAATATGTGTTTCCCTGTTATTTCCTCTGCGTTCTTTGATCCAACCTTCTGAGATATTTCTTCAATTAAAACACATTTTCTTTCAAACGTATTTGATGCAATGCAAGCAAGTTTTTCTTCCAATTAATCTCGGAATTGGATATTAACTTGGATGAATCTTGTGTGTTATTGAGAAAATATTCTTTCGAAGCATAACTTCATTAAAATTCATATTCTAAGCTTTATATTTTAAGGTGGATTTTTCGCATTATACGGCCATCAAACCAAAGATTTGTTGCTGACTGGTGCAAAAACACGGAACAGAGATTTAAAGATTTGGACAAATGCCACAGCTAATCCCCTTAGTTGGTAAGATATTGAAATATGTTTTTTACAATAAGACTAGCTATAGAGAAATCGATATGGAGTTTCGATTGCGTGGCATTTTGTCCCTCAGTATTGTTGGAATTGCTTAGTGTTATAAGGCAACGGAGTTGAACCTTCGAAGTTACATTACATATTTTAATGAGAGGAAGATAAATCGTGTTTTGATGACTGCGAGAAATTTGCATCACACTAAGATTAGGCTATACTTTGTTCAATAGCAGGAACACAGTTTTTCTTTAGTTCTTGAGACCTTTTCCTCACTTTTCAAATGAATTCTGCGTCACCTTTGTTTTAGAAACGGTAGCACCTCGTATGAATGTTTTATGATATCGAGGCGAACTTCAGCCATTTTCCAGCCACAAAGCTTTTTATTGGGAGCGACCAGCAGCACTTCCTTTTTAGACTTTTGCAAGTAAGAGGAATTTGTTTTGAATGTCTGTGAAAACTTTCATCGCACTGCATCTAGCTAACGCTTTGCTTAACAGTAGGATAACCAGCTGGAAATCTTTGAGTATAAAACGTTGAACATGGATTTAAAGGGATATTTATATTTAGCTTCATATTAAAAGAACCTGAGAGGAGAAATGGTGCGGTTGATTGGTCTCTTATTTATCACCAATCAGTGAATGCTAGCAGGTCAAAAATTTTCTTTGATATAGGCAGGATTCTAATAGATATTTTTGGCCTAATGAGCTTCAATTATCCTCACAGTATTTGCACTCCACTGCCTTTTTATGTAGAAATTTTTATATCTCGGTTGAAGGGTGGTTTCAGGTTTTGTAGACGTTTTCTGAGTTGGAGTCTTAAACTGCACGGAGGTGGGTGAACGGTAACCGACAAGTAAAACTAAAGGGACCCATAAAATGCGCCATTGTTTCTTCCATGTCGTCATCAGACATTCTATGCTTTCTTGTAGAATGTTAAAAGTAAAGTGCTTTAGCGTGTTTGTTAGATGGCTAATTTTCACAACCATTCCAGGATGTAAACCCTTTAAGAAATTTCATTGTTTGTTTGCTTTTGATCCCAATAAAATACAAGACCTGTCGCCAAGAGAATACACTGCAGAGAGAGTCGCGGAATATAATTTGGATTTCAATTCATAAAAGTTTGATTCATAAATTTGATGAAGCATCCTAAAGACTCAATTCCACAAATTAAATGATTGCGAAGAAATATCTGGTTCGGGTGAACATATTCGGTGTTGCAACACTGTGTACCAGTAGCAATAATTCCCATACCCTTTATCATTCTCAAAGCTCGTCGCTTGACTTTTGTCCCATCCTTGATTGGGGCTTAAAAAACTCGTCGAAGGTCAGTTGTTCGTCTTTGTTTTCATCGCTTTTGAAGTTGCCGCTTACCCAGAAGTCCAACTGCTCGGAGCTGTTGCTCACTATCACCTTGCCAAATTCACGCATTTCGTCTCTTGTGACAAATCCGTCTTTATTTGCGTCCATGAAATCAAACATTAGTTTTCCTTGTTTTTTCGTGGACTGTTAGAAGAAAATAGTTATTTAAATCTACATACATTTAATTCGATAAAGCAGTGTGTATTTTTCCAAATATTGACACTCGAATGCTACATTTATACATCTACGTGACAAAAGTATTATGACGATCGTCTCGAATCAAAGAACAACATGGAAAATCAGTGGAACATAACGAGATTGCTGGTTGAGATTTTCGATTGCAACTTTACTCAATTGTAAAAATAAACATAAATTTAATAAATTGTAAAACATTAAAATCTTTTAGACAAGTAGCATTTGCTTTATTTTATATTTTGTCAGATGACCTCCAAGAATCTGGACAGCCGCCATTTGCATTGAAACTCACTGAAATAATTTTTCAACGAAATATCTTCGGAGACAGGAGGAAATCTCAACAAAATTTCAAAAGAGCTTATTTTGGGTCTTAGAAGATTCCATTTCTTGTATTATTTTAATGGAAACCAGTTGTTTTCAATTACATCAAGGCTTTGATTTTAACGTGGTTCTTGAAAGACCATGATGTTAATAATTTTGGAAATTTATGTCACAATTGCAACATAACTAGGTTTACTGTCTTGCTTAAAAATACTAATAACAATAATAATAATTTATTTATTTAAGATTGACGCTTATTGCTAGCTCACATGCTAATTTAAGCCAACCGAAAATTATATACAAGATACAATAATAAACTAAATCTAAATTACAAACGGTTCTTAAAATGGTCTTTGTAAAGAATCATTAGTTGTTTCTGTACTTGTCTGTCGGCTTTCCACAAATAATTGGACAAAATATTCAGCTTTGATTGACTTCCCACACAACACCAGCTTGCCACCGCCATTAGGCCCAATCAAAAGTCGGCCTGCCCTAGCCTACCAATCTATGAATTTTAGTAGGCCTTGTTAACTTATTGTTCTTGTAAATAACATGCCTTGTAGACTTGCTGCAACTAAACTTCTTGCAGTTTTAGCAAACAAATGAAACGCTAGACCCAATTTTTTCATTGCTTTTCATTCTCTTTCTGGTCGCTTTTGTGTTTTCGGCATTGAAACAAAAACATTGATATTTTCCATTTCTCTCTGACGTTTTTCTATCATAGAAAGGTATGAAATAAACTAAATTTGCCAGGATTTGCATTTATGCTGTCACCATTTTTAAAATCCCACCAAAACAGCAAGATTTGTTCAATCAATGTTAGAATGCTAGTTTTTGAGACGCCATTTTGTTATTCATCCTCCTGATACTTTTGACACGAAAGTGTAGGTCGCGAGCAAATTTGTTTGAGTGTAACTAACAATAAATCGTTCTGGCTAAATATGTATAATTTCCAAATACATTGTTGGTACCGCACAATTTGAAGATGGCACGAAATAGCGGAAACATTGCATATTGAAGCACTTTTTTACAACACTCTTCAGAGTATAAACGTCAAACAATGACCGAAAGTAAGCAGAAAATTTATATCTGTCTGGATCGAAACAACGTAAAGGGCAGAAAGATGCGTTTGATTGGTTCTTTTGTTCTTTGGCCAATCAGCGACCGCTAACTTCGCACCAAGTTAGAAGCCTAGGAGTGAAAACAAGCTCATTCTGTCTACACAAGTTTTGTGGATTTATTTTGAATTTTGTTGCATTCAGTAATTTTAGCCTATTTTAAGTATTATTTCACACAAAATTAGTTTTGAGGATTGTTCATTTATTGTCCCGTGTTTCCATTCGCAATTCTTATTTTGGCTTGATTTCCAGAATTAGGATCCTTGGATTCAAGAAGATGACTAGAGCTTCCTGGCCTGCTTCATTTCCAAAAACAGGGCCTATTCCATTCTCCTTGCTTTACACATGGTAGCTGCAAGATGATTTTGCCACTCAATTTGATCGTGCTTATATCGATTTCAAAGGATCATGTGAAAGAACAGGATGAGTTTTGCATCTCAGGGTCTGCTTTTGTGCTGATAAAACAAGAAAACATTGCCCAGTCCCGGCTTGCCAAACCTAAGGTTCGTAATTCAATTAGCATCTAATAATAGCTGGCATCTTGATGAAATTGAATAATCATTGAGATAAAACGTTTGAAGTATCTTTGTATTTTATTTTTAAGTTGTGAAATATTGAAATAGATTGGAAATGTAATATATAAAATTAATTATATGCTTTGAAGAAAATTTTCAAAAGTTGTCCATCACTGTTCCATTTGTTTAACGATCTCTTTTTCTAAAAGAAAGTTCACTTGTCCAATCGCTGGTTTATTTGTTAGTTCACTCATTCATTCACTCCCTCTCCCGTTTGTTTGTCTGTTCATTCGTTTGCAAATTTGTGCTCATTTCTATATCCGTTTACAGGCTCTTTCATTTAAACTTTCATTTGCTTGTTGTTCACTTTGTTTGCGAACTCGTTTGTTCGTTTACTCGTTCGTTTACTCTTTGTTAGGTCTTTCCTTTATGACAATTTTTTGTTAAATGCCTTGTCTCTCGCGATATTTGATCGTCACGAAAATTAATAAACGGAAAATATTTAATGTGACTTTGAGCCAAGACCTTTTTCTCTTTGATCCTGTTGTGTGTTAAATTATCTTGCGTAAACAAAGCTATTAAAATTTATGGAACATCTCATATCAAGAAAGGAATGCAATGAAAATGCCAAGTTGGTTGTACTTTCGAACTATGTCGAGAAAATTGAAAAAACAATGCAGTCAATATTTATTTTTATATTCCAGCCTATTCTCGTGTCTCCTTTCTTTTTCTTATAGCCCCCACTTACCCTCACCCCACGCCATAGAAGTGAACCAGATGTGCTCCAATCACAACGTATCTCTTTATTGTCCAATCCTGGCAATAAGAGAGGCTTACCAACAATTAAAATAAACTTCGAAAATTCACACCTGAATCATGTATTCACCTCCTTTGAAATCAAGCAATTCTTCATCCTCGTGAAATTGAATCTTTCTCAAATTTTCTATCAGTTTATCAAAGCACAATGAAACCTCTACCGCTGCAAGTATTAAAAATATCACTTTCATTTTTCTTCGCCTTGATGCCTTTAAAATAAGTCAGTTATATCCAGTTGTAATGTTCAGAGTGTGTGTATTAATCACTGCTGTGTTAAAGTAGTTTCTGTAGTCAAATTGATTATATTAGATCAGGGGGTAGAGGATATGTAATGTCGAAGTATGCTTTGCCAGTGGCAAGAATCGTTTCAGTTAACCGCTCTTCTTTTGCGCTGTTTTCCAGTCCCCCCTCCCCCCCCCTGAATATTAGATTATGGGGAATTTAGTACTTTGGTTTTTTAAAAAAGAGATTTTTAACACCAATTTTCCAGAAAAGATTTGCTTCTTAGCTAGATAACTAATACTGACATGCTTTAAAAATGTCTTTGTTGCACTACCTGTTGCCAACACTGAAAACGCTTTTATACCTTGGGAATATTATTTTTAAACATTTTATTTTCTCTGCCTAGACATCATTATTGTTTGATTTATTGTGTTGGTGGATTTAGCAGACATTTCTTGTCATTCAAAATGGAACACTCTGAATACGAGAGAAACATTTTCGTTAAAGCACTTCTTGAACCAATGACTTTGAACGACAGCACCCCCGTCCCCTAGCGATTGAAATATTTACAGCCATTTTTCCTCGGCAGCCCTATCTGTGTTTACACTGAATGCGATTTCAGGTGCCATGATCCAAAACAGTCTTTTTCTTAGTCCATCACTCTGATCAAATATTATAGTTGCTGTGTAAACCTTCCTAGAATCCCTTTCTATGCTCCGAGATACGAAATTGGCCTCCACGCGCTGGATTGGAAAATCATGAGAAGACCGCGCTAGTTCCTAGACTCCTCCAGCTCGTCTGGACCTGTCGCGTCGTGTTTCGTAAACATTCACCATTGAAATTTTGGAAAAGCCACTGAAACTTTAGAGTGATTGAAATTTTAGAAAATGTCGAGCGGGGGTTCAAACTTTAGATATGGTTGCAATATTAGAACTAACCTAGCATGACTGAAATTTTAGAACTCTCGCAGAGCAAGCGATTGGAATTTTAGAAACGTTGCTTAAGAAATTGAAATTTTAGAGAATGTTGAACGGTGGTTGAAACTTTGGAAATGACAGAAATTTCAAGACTAGACAGAGCAACTGAACTTTTAGAAGATCACTAAACTTTTAGAAAGTTGGTGAAATTTTAGAAAGAGCTATTTTTGGCGGTGTATGCGCGCCATATTTTTGGGCCCTTTTTGGTCGGGGGCCCTTAGTTCTCGGACTAAGGTCGCCTAAACTGCGTTACGCCACTGTGCTTAAGATGCTATTTTTAGAGGAGAAGACCAGAAAGATTTTCAAGTAGTATAATTAAAGAAACCATACTTTGAAAAAATGAAAATAAAAATGAATGTATGAAATGCTCTAATATATGAAAATAAAATGCGTATTAAGCTTATAAAATGCGTATTATGTTCACATTGCTCCGTATTAGTTTTTATCCGTTTTCAAAGTGCGTTTTCAAACGTCTTCGTTTTCGCAGCGGAGCAGTGTGAACGCAAGGTGAAAACGGATACTTTTTTATTCGTTTTTATTGGAATCCGGAGCAATGTGAACGGGGCCTTAGATGGTTGTTGGAAGAAAGTGAGCCGCAAGTAGGTTCTTTGCCATTGTTTCTGAAAAGTTTAGGTTAGGGGCACGTGCAGGTTTTGATGGCAGAAAAGACCTTTGCGCAGATAGATTAGGCTAGTGTAAAACCATATTTTCATGAATTGGCTGGTGTCTACGGAGGCAAAACAATGAATTTGTGCTGAATTTAAAAATGATACGATTTTATTTTGACATTGAAATGTGAACAAAACAAAGAGTCAAAACTTTTCCGTGGCATCCAAGACAAACACAAGGGTAATGAGAGGGTGAGGGAGAGGGGCTGGCAACTAGATAGAAAGAAATAAAATGTCAGAAAGAAAACATGTCAGGAAATAAAAACTAGATTTAGTGAATTGATGGCACCCCGATGGTACCAAAGAACCTATATGTAAATATTAATGCTTTCTTAAGCACTATTTTAAACTATTGATAATGCCATTATCTGAAAGACCCTAGCCTTGACTTGGAACTCAGTCCGGTTTTTTCTGGATCCGCCCCTGCCACAGTTGCAGTCAAAGCAAAGCAAAATATATGATGATGACACATGCAATCTTTGCGAGGAACCTAAAAGAAGTTTTGACTTTACAGGCTGAGAAATTTTGAAGCTGTTAGCGAGTGTAAAGGTAAGGTTTTGATTTGTTTTGTTTTGATTTGGTAATTTTTATATAAAAAAACTGATTAAATTATCCAAAATATAACAAGTGATCCAAAATAACGCACGCACTTCGTATCACAACTTATAGACTTCGGCTTGGTATTTTGAAACTTTGATTTGGTGCAGGCCAACAAAGGATTTAAATCTACAGATGAATTCATTTCTGTTTTCCTATTAACACTATACAACATATAGCTGGAAATGAAACAACTAACTCAATAAAAAATGTAGGAAGGTTGTGCAATGAATTGATTTAGAAAGGCAGCTACCCATTATTGTGTTTCAGCGCTGGGTTCGTATGTTTTGAGTCAGATGAAATGGGAAGACAGAAAAGCTGTTATCTTTATAACAAAGAATGCAAAACGAATATGCAAAACAAAAAAAGAACTTTGGCCGGCCATAAATGGTCCTACCAGATCACAAGAATCTGCTTTGCATGTTGCAGAACCCGAGTTAAAAACAGTTCCAAGCTTTTCACTGCTCAATCAGTTGGAAGGCATTTTCTTGTTGTCCGGCTTCGCGTGCTTTTTTATACAGAACCGCTTTAAAAGTAACCTACGTGTAGATAGCGGAAAAAACTAAAGAACCGTTAGCACTAAAGACAAAATCCATAAGGAACTTTTTATTTTGGAACATTTTTATAATTGCAAACAGTTAGGAAGCCGGTTCAATCCATTTTGAGTTTAAAATCGAATGACTTCCGTTTTACGACGGTGGCTTTCGAGGGCTTCATTTTCTTCTTGGTAGAATTCCACTTTTTCTTATTTTAACTGTCTTTTTGCTTTTCATCTTTTTTCTAGCTACAGTTAAGAATTTAGCGACAATGATACAGAATTTTAATGTACTATGCTTAATAAGGAACTTTATGTAATTTGATCAAAAGAGGTCCAAAAGTAAGGAACTTCAAAAACTAGGCCTCGAGCAAGGTTCCTTATAAAGTATGAAGTGTGTCCATAACTCTGGGAAGCCTGGGAAATAAATTGAGACTTTAGCTCGTTATCGGAAAAGAAGCTAGATTTGTTTTCCAAGCAAAGTATTCCAATGCTTAGGTGCTTTGTAAAAGGATTTTGAATTAGGGCAATAGTCAAGACCCTTACGGCTTAGCTTTCCGAAGAAATCTATATTTTTGCTGCCAATTTATTGGAGCGTGGAGATATATTACCATGGAGATTCATCTCTAGTTTAACTTGCGAGAAAAATTGACCTGTAACTCGCCCTTGAAAGGACAACTTGGTGCTTCTAAGCCTAAAGACTACCATATGCTGTTATGCTCCGTGGCTAGGAATGTGAACTGGAAGGGTAGTACAATTTGAAAATTTTTCACGTTGGTGCCACCGTTTTGGGTTCCTGAATACTTAGAAGTTTCATTATCGTGATGACAAAATTTTACAATGATTATCGCAATTGGGCATACATTTTATTTTTTAGTAATGATGAAACCTTTTATTATACTCAAGAATAGTAATATATAAAATTTGGTTGTGAAAGTTCCATAAGGCATCTATCTACTTAGGCTAAAATCTACATAAAATGCCAATTTAAGAAATTCCCGAAATTTACACTGCGCACCGTGAAGTACATATTTCCAACCATGAGCCTCAGGATTGCTCTTTCAATTCATAATTTCTTTCCTACTTAGGATGTTAAAGTTTATATCAAAAAAAGAATTAATGCTTAATATCATAATGTTTAAAGGCCAAAAAGACCAAATTTAAGTAGCAAGCCAAAAACTAATTTTATAGGCAACTTTACTCTGAAAAGGGCAAAATTGAAAAAGAGAAATAGACCTTTGAGATCGTAATCAATTTATAAAGCCATCTTATACAAGCCATCTTTTATTGCTTCCCTGGAGATGATTTTGAAATTCTAACTTGCCGTGAACTGATGAAATTAGGTACTTTTGCTAGAGTGTCCGCTTACATTGGATTTTTGGTAACTTGTATGATTGCGTTCCAGATAATTTTATTTTGAAGATTAAAATTTCTCTGAAATAGTCCTTTCTAACGTTCCCAGCATTTTAAATTTAGACGCTTCAACTTTTAACTCGCAATCAATCAGAATTTCTAATCCCCTCGTTACGATTGGCGATCAAAAATACTGCGAACAATAAACGCTACAAATTAATTTTCTCTTTAAACTTGAAATGAAAAGACATCTTTTTAAAGGCTCCTTGCTAACAATGAGCCATTGCGCTACGCAAGCATCCCATAATGCATTTTTAGACTGTCTGAAATCAATTTTGGTTTAATCCGTAGAAGTTTACTACCATTATTTGGACCGTCGCCACGCTCGCAAAGACCCTTTGTTAGCAATGAGTCTTTAATAACCTTCGTTGGCAGGAAATAATTCAGATAAATTTTCGGTTGACATCAAAATATTCGATTTTTGTAACTTTTATAGTTGCTTTTCAGATAATCTTATTTTAAAGATAAAAGTAACTTTAATCAAGTGATGTTTCATTTCTTTCATCACCGAAATTGCTTTTCCGCTGAAATTCTTCAAGCTCTTACACAAATTTACAGGAAACTTGACCCAAATATTACCCACCGAAAATTAAAACACCAAAATTGTTGGCAAACGATTTCTTTGTACTTTATATAGTCTGTAGTATATGCCATTCCATAAGTCCGCGAACAAGCCGCTTTTTCCGATTAACCTCCTCCCCCCCCCCCCCCCGAGAAAACCTGGACCCCAAAAATATTTTGCGAAATAACCCCGTGGAGGCTTACTCCAGGACTTATTTCGTAGGGGGTTGGAAAAGGGGCCTCCCTTCCATGCAGGTCCCAGGCCTCCCACAGGATTAATCCAGCCCAGTCGCGATTTAAGAATTTTTCGCTGTCGTTGTAATAAGATGTCAATAAACCCTTTGTTTCTAATCACGTGCGTTTGTGGTCGAATTTTTTTTAAATTTGTTGCGCGAATCGTTTTCAAACATTTTGACGTCATATGTTTTCTTCCAGAATCCGGGTTTGGCTCTTATCTTAATTCTCGATCAAGCCCCAAAAAAGAGCCCCAGTTGATCTTACTAAGCCGTCTGATTTGTTATGTAGACTGTTCTTTTGAGGGGAAGTCGACAAAGAAAATTTAATGCTAAAGGACCGCAAAATTATTTCTTGCATAAGATAATGTTTTCGAAGTGGTATCAGCATTTTTCTGTTGAATAATGTTGACAGTTTCACAGACCGTTTTTCTAGTTGCCAATGATACGAAAGCCCGGGAGCCTAAAAGAACGAGAAAAATTCTACACTCTTTTCTTTAATACAAACAATTTTGTAAGAACACAAGCCTCAAAATTGGTTAAAAGTTAAGAACAAATTGATAACAAGCTGAGGCTGAGCTACAGTCAAATGCAATTTTGAGCTAAGTTTTATCTAAAAAACGGATGTTTAGCCATGTTTGGGTGCTTTTTCGGTGAATATTCAAACCTGTCGGCAAATAAGGCCTGAACACCTCCCTAGAGATAAAAAGGTAGCAATTGTACTGCTTTTACACCCTATTAATTTAAGAACAAATTAAGAACAATCCAGCCTCAGATTTTGGAAAGAAAATTAAGAACAATCCAGCCTCAGATTTTGGAAAGAAAATTAAGAACAGCCAGCCTGGGCTTTAATGGAACTTATAAAAAAGGAGTGTATAAAGGAAGAAAGAGTTGCGGGACAGAGTTCGTGACATTGACACCATAGTCATATTTTGAAATGAAAGGGACTTGAAAAGAGTGGACACTTGAAGAATATCTGGTATTTCATAATTATTCCACTGCGCAATTTAATATGTCCTTTCTCGAACGAGCACCCTTGCCATAGAATAAGTGTCCCTTCAGAAATTCATTTCTACCAAAAATCTCACTAGAGGATTATTCACAGTATTCAAATTCCAGTTTCTGATTCCATGTTTCAGCTGCGGGTCCTTCTGGCAATGATATCGTGTAATGGTGCGTCATGTGAAGTTTCTATTGTACAACTTTGAACTTTGGATTGAGAAAACCTTTGTTTGTGACAGTTTGGTACAAAAAAAAGGCTGACCACATATGTTGACAGATCGTGCTTCGTGATCAGTTCTTTCATTTGGGTTGTGGAGAGCCAGCGAGAACAACGTCGAATTAGGTATCAGAAACAGTGATTTCTATACTTCCAAACAAAGTAAGTCTGCATTTTTTCAATTTTCAGCTACGAGTTTTTTCAAGCATTAGAATAACCTACTAGATATTTCGTGTTTATTTGGATTCATCAGATAAGGGTAACAGCCCACTTTCTTCCATGGTTGCATGTGCCACACACACAACACCTTTTTTGCACACTGAAATGAAAAACGTGCGCTCGTTTTTATTTGCTCTTGAGCACATAAGCTGTTGTCGAGATTCGAGAACTGATGTGCTCGAGAACTGATGTGCTTTCCAGATTGAAAGGCAGGTATTTGAAAAACTTTTCAGATTGTAATTTACACTTAGAAATTGGAAAGAGGTGGCAAAGGCGAATGCTGCCCCGCAGATTGTTCGCTCGACCTGCCAGAAATTTTTTTGAGAAGATAGATCCTTTTTTGAGAAGATCAATTTCTGCAGTTTCGCACCTCTCGGCTTGTGGTCACTCGTACGAAACCATACATTAGGTTACTGTTTGGTTACGGAATGGATCCTCTCCCAAGAGGTGCGAATCTGTAATTAGTACTCAATAACTTCTATAGGAAGTGATGATAATAGAATGAAATATAGCGGTGAACTTGATAAAGCAAAGGAACTCAATGAAAACTTTCTCTTAATAAAATTTATATGATAAGAATAATTCTTCTGTTTCTCACGGCTCCGAAATGCTAAGTCAATAGCATTGGAATTGGCGATTCTGCATGGCTTCGCGTCCATCGCGTGACTCGCCACTCCAGTTCCAGTTCCGCTTTCTATCCGCCCAACTGTATTCTAATTTTTTTTAGGAATGTAAGCCCAATCAATTTTATAACAATGTGTAAGCTTCAAAGTAACGATTGTAAGAACTAATAAATTATAATAGCCTGTGTAAAATTTAATCTGTATTTTATCGTTTAATTGGTTGAGTTTTTGAACAATCAAAATAGGTGTAACTTTCGCGTGGAAACTCGAGGGATCGTTACCAAGATGTTTTGTGCTTGAATGTTTCAATTTCTTAAATGTCTTTATGGACAATGAAAAAAGTAGCAAAGATTTGAACTTTTTTCATTAATAGTCGTTCATTTGGCTAATTCTTCTTGTTTGCAAAATGCTTACAGCCGAGTTTCATTTTCTTAACCAAAAGTCTTCGTTTTCTCGCAATGTCACAGGTTTGTAAAAAAACCTTGGCCAATTTTTAACTTCGACGTATTACTCTTTATCATCAACACATTTAGGATAACGATAAAATTTTTTGTTATTAACTCTGCTTCGCCGAAAAAGGATACGATGTGCAAGGTTAAGGGACTTAGATTATCTGCCTAATATCTTTGTACAAAATTATTTAAAAGAGTTTTTGATTATATCTTGTTTGTTCTTTTTTAGAATGAAGAGTCTCGTGATTTTTGCAATCGTGTTAATCACATCCGTCCTCGTAAGTATGCAGTTTTCGAAGAGAATTCATAAATGAAATGTCATGTTTATTTCAAAGCTAAGAAGGGATAGACGGGGGCTCGGGGCCCGATAGTACCCTCAGCAACCATGTTATGCTAGTTTAGTCAATTCTGTCAGTTATTGAGTTTGCATTTATTTTGCATTGACTTTTTTCTTTGCATTCATTTAACATCAACTTTTTTTGCATTGAAACTTTCTTTCAAGAGCCTCGTGGACCGATAGTTATGCCTGCCCTCATGTTGTTTGTTTTCAAATTTGACGATTTCCATTTTTTTCTGACCGTTACTATTTACGTCATCGATCACGTGACATTTGGGGAGAAATTCTTTTGGACACCCTTCAAAATTTTAAGGTACTAGCCCAAGAAGGTGGAAACAAGTGAAAAACCTTCGGTTACCCTCTCCGCCAGTTTGTTAGAAAAAATTTCTTGTCAAAATCTGAATTCGCTGTTAAAAGATCCATCAAGTATATCTGAATCACCTGTATTTTTACAAAAGTGGCCGCACACAAGTAAATAACTAGTGGGATGTTGTGTGAAAAATTCCCTAAAAATGGCCGTGTTTATAATTCATCTGAGCCGCAATGTTTCAGCTGCATGTCATACAAGCAGAGGATTCGAATGTCACACATGATATGTTAAAAGAATCGACAAGGGTACTGTGCTTTGATGCCTTAGATCCTTGAGTATGCCCCTGCCCAGAAAGTTGCAAATCTTTACCAATGCCACACTTTCAAATACACCAACCGTATAAAAACCTCGCCCAACAGTTCAACTCTAAAATTAGCCCTTGTGGGCCTATTCAAGGATTTAAGGCTTTTTAAGATTGTATTTGCTTTTTAGTTTGAATTTTTTAGCATGAATTAACATATTATCCATACATTGGCTTTTATGAAGGTGCCAAAATGCAGTTCTTCTTCGCTATCAAAGGGCTAACCAGCAAAAGGAAAGAGGATGGGTCGAAAACCTCTTACAATTGTTCAAATATAAACAAAGTTGTGGAATCTCGAGAAATAAAACCAACAGAACTGAACTCGTTTGAAAATAATTTTTTGTGGCGGCGAAAAAATTTGAAAAGTAATGATATATTTTTTCTTACAATTGTGAGTTTGCATATACCATTTAAATAGCTTGATAGAACAGTCATAAGGTTTCTGTGTTAAAGTTCACCCCAATTTTCTCATTAAGATAGTAAAGGATGTTAAGCCATGACCACATTCTTGAAACCCACTTTGCTCATATCATTTGATTTGCAATATTTTTTGTGCAGTAAGACACAGAAAGTTTATTATGATATTCAAGTGCAACTGAAATGAGAAAACTCTAGCTTTGTCTTGTTAATCTAATAGATTAAACGTCGCTTATTTAGAATATTTTTTGGGCTTTTTTATATTTAGGGCCCTCGTATATTTTATATAAATTGGGATTGCCAGGGTTTTGGGGGGAGGTTGCTCGACAAGGGTCTGGGGCGAGTGACAAATGAAGCACAAGAGATATGAAACAATTTTGTCCTTATGAAAATTACTATTTTTAAAGACTTTTGATGACTCATATCCTTCTCTCGCTGTAATTTAATCCAATGTTCTGCTTGGTTGGAAATCTAAACTTTTTTAATCATAAAAGAGCTCTAAAACAAATTTTCTCAAAGTTTTTAAAATTCTTTGAAATTTTCTTATCAGCTGAAATTCCTTAAAAATTTCCTTAAAAAGAAAACGAATTCATTAGTTTGAAAGCACTGGAAAACAACAACAAGAAAAAATTCGATTTTTGCATTTCAGTGGCACTTTGATGTCCGCTAACAGGTAGCAAAAGTTAAGCCGTATCTCCTCGCTCCACTTAAGTTTTTCCGCACTGCTTAAAATTTTCCACTCTCAATTCGTATTTGAACAGTCAATTCTAATCAGATTTTATTTTGTAGGGAGAAGAGCTGGATTTAAGTAAGAATCCTTTTAATTTTTTTTGCCTCACAAATGAGTATCTACCTCTCCTTTCTTTAGAGGAGATGCCACTAATTTTGGGCTTGTTGATAAAAATTTAAGGTTAGACGATTATAATGACTCTCAACATTTTATTGAAAAAGCATAAATAGAGGATAAACTTTCCGAAAAGGCTGTCAGATTTTGTGTTAAAATGTTTGTGCATGCGTGAGTTGTTATTTTGTGCAGTATGTTTTTATTTTTGGGTTTTACCGATTTTTTGTAAAAAGACAAATTGATTTTTGCAGCATTTATCTGAATAATTATTTTCCAAAAGTTTTGTATCTCAAAAAACAGATTCAAGTCGGAGATTTCTCCTCCAAAATTCCTGCTCGAAATAGCATTGTATGGACAGCCAAAGACTTCTTTCAAGCTCTGTAGTAACTCATTTGCCACACTGATACGTCTTGAGCGGTTAATTTATGTCTTGAATTTCTTATTAATCTTACTTATGTATAAATGTCATTAATTTTGTCGTAGAGACTTGTAATGGCAATAGGTACCTATTCGGTAGCTCAAAAAACGGATGCACTCTCGAGAACAAAATAAATGACCAGATTAAAAGAGAAATGGATGCTTTTCACACATATTTACAGATGGTAAGTTCACCAAGATCGTTGTAGTAAAAAAGATAAGATAGATAGGCCATGAGACAAAATAAGCAGAATTCAATAAAATGAGGAAGAGGACCTGTTTCTAATGAAAGCTTTCCGTTGACATTTCTAACGCATAAATGCCAACACCGAAAGTTTCAAGTTTTCCAACACACTCGTTTTTGTCTTACATGCCAACTTACGCTTCAATGCCAGTCCTTAATCCGTCTGTATATAAGTCAAAACAAAAGCCTAAACATATGGCGGCTAACATACATAGGATTTCGTATGTCTTATACCAATCGATGGTGAGTAAATATTTTGTCAGTAGATATATTAACATGTTTGAGCTAGAGAAAGGTGTTACAATCTCTAAATGCTCACTGTCGAGACTTTTAGCCAACGAGTTACCCTTCATAATGCATTCTACTCGTAGGATTTTTCTCTTCTGTAGGGATACTTCTTTGCACACGAAGATTACAACTTGCCACATTTGAGCAATTACTTTTTGGAAAGCGCCAAGGAAGAATTGAAACATGCACAGAGTGTGAGTGCTTCAAATTTTTACTTTACATTTTATGGAGTATTCTCTTGTTTGTAAACAGGCGGAGTACCTAACGGAAAATGTGTTCGTGTATATCGGCTTTCACGCACCTAAGGCCAATGGTTGAGAACAGTATTGTATTGTAGATTATTTAAAGTTAGTTTTTACAATAGTGAATATAAACTAATCAAGACTAACATGAAGCAATTTCAAGGATTGCATAAGACAGTTCATTTACTGCAAAACGAGCATGCCCACTTGTTTTCAAGGAAACAAGATATTGATCAAATTCTTAAATTGTCTAGTATTTTGTGCTGTCTTTATTGATTCCGGGAGTGAATTCCAGATTTTAGGCCCTTGAAAACTTAACGATCTGATACCATTATTGGTAGTTCTGGCTTTTGGAATGTCAAGGGGGTTTTTGAGTCGAAGGATATGACCTGTTGTTTTGGGTATAAAAAAGTCTTTCATGAAAACAGGATAAAGGTTGTTAAGTGTTTTATAAACTTCAAGCGCTAAAATTCTAACTGATTGGACATGTATGGTAGTTTCTTTTGAGTTAGCAAGTAAATCTTTGGACAAAGATGAATGCGTTAAATGTTATATGGCCTTGTTATACAGTGTTAAATGCGAGGAGTTCATAAGGCCTGGTTTACCAGAACTCCTCACATACTGAACCATAATTAACTAGCCCCTCACTTTGTTTTTGTAGCAAAAGCTCCTTTCATGCCCTTTTTCATGCTTTATTCTAGATGATGGAGTATCAGGTGTTGCGTGGAGCTCATGTTCAATTTAGCAAATTTTCCTTCGAAGTAAGTTTATTCCATCATTATATCAATTTTACTGTTACAAAATAATGGGTTGTCAATAGTTTTATAGAGTGGGGCTGAATTAATCTTTCTACCGTTATCATTTCTCCAACATCTCGCTCATCGTTACTTTGTTGTCCTTTGATAATAAGCAAAGGAGGTCTAAACGTTATTATTAAAAGTCATGGCAAGGGAAAGTTTAAATAGAAGCCATTACATCTTGTTATAGCCTCAGCGACTCCTGGACTGCCAATGGGTATCAATGGCGGCGCCAGCCACCACGCTCTGGGGGGGGGACAAAACAAAAGATTTTAGACCACGCCCCTTTTAGCACCTGAAAACGCCCTTTTACTAGGCAATTTTTACCTGAAGGGAACGCCCACAGCTCACTTTTGGCTATGTAATGGCAGTTTAAAAATCATAGGATTACATCACAAAAAATACATTGCCAAAAAATACATCGCCAGAAAAATATTTGATTAAATAAATAAACGACCGTTCGAGCATAGCCCGTTATCAAGTAAAATTGAAAAGCGATTATGGAACTAAAAAACGTTAAAGGAATATGGGATTCGATAAATGGAATGGAACGACGGATATAAATGCATGGAAAAGAAATTTATAGAAAGAGCTAAAAATTATTAGATATTTTAATACAAATGCAAAATACATGAACACAAATACAAAATTTACGTATGTGTATATATGCATACAAATATAAAAAAAGAAAATACAAAGAATCACACAGAAGATGACAATCAGCTAAACCGATATTACCAGCTAAATCGGTAATACCAGCCAAACCAGTATTGCCAGTTAAACCAGTATTGCCAGCTAAACTAGTATTACCAGCTAAACCTGTACTGCCAGCTAAACCAGTATTACCAGCTAAACCTGTACTGCCAGCTAAACCAGTATTACCAGCTAAACCAGTATTACCAGCTAAACCTGTACTGCCAGCTAAACCAGTATTACCAGCTAAACCAGTATTACCAGCTAAACCTGTACTGCCAGCTAAACCAGTATTACCAGCTAAACCAGTATTACCAACTAAACCTGTACTGCCAGCTAAACCAGTATTACCAGCTAAACCAGTAAATTGCCAGCTAAACCAGTATTACCAGCTAAACCAGTATTACCAGCTAAACCAGTATTACCAGCTAAACCTGTATTGCCAGCTAAACCAGTATTACCAGCTAAACCAGTATTACCAGCTAAACCTGTATTGCCAGCTAAACCAGTATTGCCAGCTATCGAGATTGTGATCATGAACAATTGATCATTTTCCATCAGTGCTAAATTAGTCTATTTCTTTTTACCATCTTCTGTTATTTTTGTAGACTCCAACCGTCAGCTTTAAATCAGCACTTCAAGCATTGAAGAAAGCCCTTGAAATTGAAACTGATATCACGAAGGAAATCATCAAGATTTGGAAAAAAGCATCTGAATACAACGATGTTCATGTAAGCATGTTCTTGCTGTATTATATATTCACAAGATCGTTACGGGAAGAAATTCCTAACGGTAGGGGTGCCATAGAGGGTGGTTTCGGGGTGCTCAGCACTTTTACTAGAATTTAGAGAGCTTTCAGGAAGGCTCAGCCTCGAAAGACCACCCCACCCCCTTCCACAAACAATAATTTGATAACGCAAATATAGTTACATTGGGTGTGGTCTTGGGTATGCTTATGGGTGTGGCTTATAGAAGCTGCATGTGGCACAGCCCTCCACCTAGCTTTTTGAAGACGGCACCCCCTGTCTAGTGAAGTTTTTTGCAACGAAGGCATCCACCCTCCGAACATTTAAAATTGTTGCACCGTTTACTGGCGTGCATTTACATCTTGGCAAAAAGACGGGGGATGGTTGATTAACGTAGAAAGTTTTGTCGTTATTATTTTCCATCAACCGACTCTTCTCAAAGCAACATCTCGAATCTAATGAAAATATAAAAAATGTCATATAAAAGCAGATGTTTGTAAATATTCCTGACTCATGGAAATGACTCATGGAAATGACAGCAATTTAGCTAGGATAATGATTATTTATCTGTTTATATTTTGCACGTTAAGCACATGTAAGCAAATTTTTTAAAAATTTTCCTCTGAATGCTGTCTTTAAGCAGTTATTTGAAGCGAACTCTTGCATTTCTAGCATTCAAGGTGCTTTCAAACGAAATCCATATGCCTTTTTTATTTCATTCAGATCCTGAGCACTCATTTTCGCAATCTTTTGTTGATCTCAGTGCTTAATGTTGTTCCAATATTTCTTAAATACAAAATGCTAAAGAGCTGCTTTCTTAGAAATGCAAAGAGATAACATGAAAAAGATCATCTAACAAGAAGCCCTAGCCTCTCCATTTTTCGATGCCAGTTAAACAGAAGATAGATGCCAAGTCGTTAAAAGAATCATTTTCATCTCATTATTAAAAGAAGGGTTTTCAAGCAGTTTTGAAAATTCAAACTTGATCAATGCTATGACTTCTTTATTTTCGGTAGTTTCAAGATATGTTCTCTTACAAATGGTTTTTCATATATAAAAAAAATTTACGATCAGCAGTGCCTTATGAGTAAGTTCCTTTAACCACTGCACAGATTTAAGTAAAATTACCCTTGCGTTGTAGATGTCAGACTTTTTGGAGACTAACTTTGTTACGGAACAATACGAAGCATTGAAAAAGTATAAGAGTTTGATCAAAACATTGGAACGAATGACAAAAGACAGCAAGGACCAGGCACTCCAGAAACTTGCCGAATTTCAGTTTGACAAACTTGTGATGAAGGATTTCAAGTAATAATGGCTGCAAACACAAAAGGTGTGGTTTTTGTCCCCATAAATTATAAGGTCGAAAAATTTTAGGAAAATTTGGAATGATTAATCATCTTGTTTGAGAACGTTAGGAATCAAATTATGATACTAGTCCGACATCTTCTTTGGTCGGTAACTGAAATCATTTCTTTTTAATGTTGTAATTGACTTCTGATAAAATAAAAGCTTCTTTGTTATAAAAAATGAATCAATTTTTATTTTGCTATTTTCCTTTTCGTAACTCTCGTGATTTGAAAGAAAACTCCCTTTAATCAAGGACGTGTACAAGTAGGTTTTTGAAAGAGATTGAAATGATATAAAAGCTTTTGAAAATAAGTTATGCCAATTGACTAAGACGAAATGAGACCCTGGGCTGAAAGCGTAGGCCTTAGTTTCGGGTAAATATTCTGTTTTGATGTAATGCTAAACCCTTTTCCCTTGCTAATTTATAATATTTTAAACGAGCTCTGGTCAACAAACAGTACTAGCTAAGTGTGAAACGATATGTATGTAAACAAAATTACATAGCAAGACGGGTCTTGACAAGTAGTGCAATAGATGATATAAAGGCACATGTGATAAAAGCATGATTTTCGGCAAACATTGACACTTTGCCACGTTGAAAAAGATGAAAGTTGGACCCATTCTGTAAATCGCCTCTAGCCCCTACTTTTAGGCGGGCTCTCACACCCACCAGTGGCGGGGTGGCTATGTCTTCACTAGGGTGGCCAAGTCGATTTTTGCGCCCTATCTATATACCGTGGTTATATAAAAGCATGTATTTCTAGAAGGGAAATCGATTTTTGGAACTTGAATCCAAAATTTCATAAATAAATTTTGACTAAAAATGCGAATATGAATAGAAAAGTTATATAATCCTAACATTTGACCTTCTTGACCGTGGTTCGGTAAAATTTCAAGCTATTTTGAATTGGCTTATTTTCGAGAGTCGGCCTATCTTCGAGGAAATACGGTAGGCAAAACATAAAATACTAATCAAAAGACATTCTAGCCAATTACACTGATGTTTCATACAGGCTTTCGACCCCTTGAACTCGTTTATCATATCCAGAATACCTGATTCAGAGTAAAATAACATAGAGCAAATTTTTGTATCAGCCTAGTGTCATCGTATATATGATGTATGATATACCAACATGATTCAAGTTCGTTATTCTTTAGTAGTTATTAAATTGTAGTTCTTTCACCAACATGGAAGTTTTCAAACATTGAATCGAACTATCGAATCGGACAGAGGCAGCGCGCACGAAATTTAATCTGGGGTTGGGCTAAGGATCAAGTTTAGTGACAAAGGAGGACCCACAATGGTTGGATCCGACGCGCCAGAAAATTTTTGAAATCAAGCCTTCTAGAATAGCTAAAAATGCATCTCCCAGGCTAAAATTCAACAAATTACTACACCGCTCAAAGTAAACAAACATTGATTTTTGATTTTTAGAAAAAATTTGGGAGGGGAGGATTCATGCATTGGATAAAGAAAGAGAAGGTGACCTTTGGTTCACATCGATGTTAATAACAAGAAGCTGCTGTGTTGATTGCCAGGGTGCATTCAATGTACTGAGGACTTAGGCCTGAAGATCTTTAGCGTACACTCAGGCTTTTTTGGCGTTCCGAGTGCAAACTAACAGAAAATATTTTTGGCAAACGTTAAATCTTGAAAACACGAAAACATATGATAAAAATGTTGATTGGGTCATGGCAGAGCAACGTGCTTCGATTGTAAAATCACACGTTTTATTAGATTGTTCACAGCAAGTTACAGCGAAGTGTTCTGCCTGTGTACGATCAATTTTGATGTTCCTAGCCAAATATTACAAGCAAACAATTTTGGCACCCCCTTATCTCCATTTGTCCCCCTATTCAGGGGACCATGGTCCCCTGGCCCCCCTACCACCACGCCACTGACACCCACCCCACATGAAGTTACTCCTTTATCTATCGTCTAGAAATAGATATTAACACAAAATTTGTTAGGTATAAACAATTTGATGCACTGAACAAGATATGAACTTGAAAATTCCCCCCCAATTCTATGCTTAGACCGGGTAATACAGTCGAGTAACCTGTATTTAACTCTTTCACGGAAATAAATTTAACACGAGGCGTGGCAGGTATGGAAAGTTTGTAGAAAATAAAACTAGAGTATGGAATTTTTTAAGCATGTTCCCAATGCCACTTTTGAACATGGGTATTAGTGCCTAGTTCCCTTTTATCTAAACCGCACACCTTGAGTTGAAAAGTTCTGAAATTTTCCAAATTCGGTCATTTGATAAGGATAATATTTTCAACCCACGATTACAAGGATAATTTCTCGGATAATGTGTTGGTTTGGGACAATGGAATGGTTGCAAATCCTTCATTTGCAAGTCATGTATCTTGGTCTGAAACCAGACCAGGAGTACGTGTTTGAAGTTAAAAACCAACTGATCCTGCAACTAGCACTGTCAAACTCTTAGGTATTACTATAGACTCAAATTTGCCGAACATGTAAATACACTTTGCACGGAAGCATACAACAGGACCATCGCGTTTGCACGATATTTAGATCAGGACAAGAAACACATTCTTTACAATACATTTATCATGTCAAACTTCAATTATTGTCCTTTAATCTGGATGTTCTGTTGGAAAGATGCCAATGCAGCAACAAACAGAGTCCGCAAAAGGGCACTGTAATGTGGGAGGATTTAGCAGTCCCCTTTGCTGAACTTTTAGCTAGGGGTAGCGAATGCACTATTCACACCCAAAATTTGCAAAATTAATGCTGAAAATATATTAATGCCTTAACTCGGAAAATCCATCTTTATGTGGCAAATCTTCCGGGCAAAAGATATAGCCTGTAACCTAAGGACTAAAAATCTTCTACAGTTACCGAACACAAAAACTATCGGAATGATTCATTATCCTTCAGGGGTGCCATCTTTTGGAACACTTTATCTGACTCAGTAAAAAGCCTGGCAGCCATTGCTAGCTTTAAGAGATCAATTAAAGAGTGGAAAGGTGATAGTTGCTCATGCAAATTATGTAGATAAACAAGTCTGTGGGAATCTCACCAGAAGCATAATTATATGTATTTATTGTAATAAGTATTTATTTTTTTGTAAATAGTTGATCTTAATAAGTTCAAGTTAGAACTATTTTTATTTTAACCAACTTTAGATAATTTTTTTTTAAACCAGTTTTCATTTCATTTTGAAAAACATACATACATACACTTACAAATACTTACACTATTACAAGGTACAATGCCTGCCAAAAGTACTTGGAACACCCACCAATTTACGCTGCATTTGATATCTTTCATTCCTTTCATGAAAAAAATTTGCTACTTCCGCCCCCTTCCCCCTCAAACAATGTTGATGATTTAGAGAAATATCATAAAAGAAGCGCAAAAGAAAGTGCTTCCTAAAATCCTAGTCCGTTTGATAGTAAACCAACATTGTTCCGTGGGGGAGAGGGAGATGATTGGTTTTGACCTTGGAAATTGATGTCAGTGTTCCAAGACTTTTGGCAGGCATTGTAGTTTGTATGTAGCACATTTTCATTGAAAAAAAAACTATTATCGGTGCAAAAAACAGTAAATAATTAATTATAAACAGTAAGCAACATTAATTAAAACAGTGATGTACACAACTCAG